GAAGATGGTTAGCTAGACCGCCTATCTTTCTGTCCTTTCTTGTACCTGTTCTCTCAAGATCAGTCCTGTCTATGACGTTTCTCCGCCTCTATTTGAGAGCTTCTGTGACTTAGATGTAAAGACCTATGTAATCCTCCAAACCACCGCTGAAGAGGTGCTCACCCCTGCATTATACCCGCTAGAGCCTGGGTCCTAAAGTCTTTAATGAGTTCTGATGGACAGTTTGCTGCACCTTCAGAGCCTGGTTGGTTCCCTCGATTCAGACCCTGATGACCTTGGAGCAGGAGTGCCTTGGCCCTCACCTGGGAGCTGTAGGTGCTGTGTGCTGATACAGTATTATAGCTGTGATAAGAATTTGAATGTCCTTCCTTTTCTAGGGGTCTTGATATAATTTTAGTTGCATAACTGGATAATTTACCTTAAGATCAAAACTCCTTCTTTAGCCATTCTAAGGATGCCCTTAAGTTTCTCATCGAGGAAAGGGATAGAGGAGAGTTCTTTGTGGGGAACAGAAAGTTTCTGTGCAGCTCAGAGAGGGGTGGGGGAGAGAAACAGATCTTCAGATCTGTGAGGCAAAGTTCAAGGAGATGCTGAGAACTGTTTTCCACGCTTACTTAAGTCAGAGTACATAACAAGAAAGTTGGGAACTCGGTCTTGTGGACCTATAGTAGGGAGTCGCGCATGATCACTAGGAGACCAGTCTGTGCAGTAACAGAGAATGCCAAGCTGCCTAGAATGGAGTGTGGGCAAACCAACAGGCCTCCCTCCCACACCCCTCATAGAAAACTAATAAATATGGTGAGGAGCTTTCTTAAAAATTTATTTATTTATTTATTTATTTATTTATTTATTTGTGAGTGTGTGTGTGTGTGTGTGTGTAGGTCAGAGGACAGGCTTTTGTTGTCTTTTTTTTTTTTTTTTGGTTTTTCGAGACAGAGTTTCTCTGTGGTTTTGGAGCCTGTCCTGGAACTAGCTCTTGTAGACCAGGCTGGTCTCGAACTCACAGAGATCCGCCTGTCTCTGCCTCCCGAGTGCTGGGATTAAAGGCGTGCGCCACCATCGCCTGGCTCTTTTTTTTTTTTTTTGAGACAGAATTTTTCTATGTATAGCTTTGGAGCCTGTCCTGGAACTTGCTCTGTAGACCAGGTTGGCCTTGAACTCACGGAGATCCGCCTGCCTCTGCCTCCCGAGTGCTGGGATTAAAGGAGTGCGCCACAACTTCCTGACCAGAAGACAATTTTGGGATTGAGTCTCTCCTTGTATTTGTGGGTCCTAGTGATCAAACTCAAGCTACCACACTTCAGGCCAGGCCCTCATCCACTGAGTCAGCTCACCGTCCCATGGTGTATAGTTTTTAAAAATAAATGTGGCCTGGAGAGATGGCTCAGAGGCTAAGAGCAGGGGCTGCTCTTCCAGAGGTCCATTCCCAGCCCCCACGTGGTGGCTCACAATCACCTGTAATGAGATCTGGTGTCTGGTGACTGGTAGGGACACATACAGGCAGAACACCGTGTACATAATAAGCAAATACATCTTTTAAAAAAATGTTGCAAGGAATAACACTGTTAAATGAATTGACTTGGCCTAGAGTAATTTTGTGCTGACCAGTTGAATTTTGAAGTATGTTTCCCAAAAGCAATGGATTTGTGTTTGGTTTTAATGTTATATATGAGCCATTTCTCTGGCTGTTATCGGTGCAGGCTGCTCCCCATGTTTGGTAATAAAGCCATTATGTAAACAGTACCGCCATCCAGAGTTTGGGACTTGCTGGAAGCTTTTGGAGTGAAAGGGAGGTTTTTTTTTTTAATATTTATTTATTTATTTATTTATTATGTATACAGTATTCTATCTGTGTGTATGCCTGCAGGCCAGAAGAGGGCACCAGACCTCATTACAGATGGTTGTGAGCCACCATGTGGTTGCTGGGAATTGAACTCAGGACCTTTGGAAGAGCAGGCAGTGCTCTTAACCACTGAGCCATCTCTCCAGCCCCCGAAAGGGAGGTTTTAAGAGAACAGAACGGCATGCCCAGCTGTGGTGGCATACGCCTTTAATCCCAGCACTCGGGAGGCAGATACAAACAGGCACGTACATTACAATCCAAAAGTGACAAGCCAGGCAGTGGTGGCGCATACCTTTAATCCTAGCACTTGGGAGGCAGAGGCAGGTGGATCTCTGTGAGTTCGAGGCCAGCCTGGTCTACAAGAAATAGTTCCAGGACAGGCACCAAAGCTACAGAGAAACACTGTCTCAAAAAACAAACAAACAACCTCCCCAAACAAAAGTGACATGGATATGACCAACATATGACAAAAAAACAGTAAAAAAGATTTGAATAGGCATATACGTGTATATTACTCACATGCACACGTAAACACACGTATCTATCTATCTGTACTTCAAAAGAGAGAAACAAACAAAAGTTTTAGAAACATGCTGTTCTCTCATTATTTTTTAGTTTTGTTGTTGTTGTTTGTTTTTCGAGACAGGGTTTCTCTATGTAGCTTTGAAGCCTGTCTTGGAACTCGCTCTGTAGACCAGGCTGGCCTCCCGAACTCACAGAGATCCTCCTGTTTTGTCTCTGCTTCCCGAATGCTGGGATTAAAGGCGTATGCCACCACTGCCTGGCTCCTGCTCAATCTTTTAATAATGCTATTTAGTGCTATTTAGTTTTTTTTTTTTGCTTTTTTCCAAAACAGGATTTCTCTGTGTAACAGCCTTGACTGTCCTGGAACTTGCTCTGTAGATCAGGCTATCCTCAAACTCAGAGATTCACCCGCCTCTGCCTCCCAAGTGCGGGGCTTAAAGACATGTGCCACCACTGTTTTGTTTTTTTTTTTAAATATTTATTTATTTATTATGTATACAATATTATGTCTGTGTGTATGTCTGCAGGTCAGAAGAGGGCACCAGACCCCATTACAGATGGTTGTGAGCCACCATGTGGTTGCTGGGAATTGAACTCAGGACCTTTGGAAGAACAGGCAATGCTCTTAACCTCTGAGCCATCTCTCCAGCCCCCTGTTTTGTTTTGTTTTTTTTTGAAGATGTCTAGCTTGGGTGTTGTACCCCCTCTTTTTGGTGGCCCCATTCAGATCCCTTTCATGCATGTGTGTTGGTTTTACAGAGGCAGGTTTCCGTAGGCCTTGAACTAACAACAGTTCTGTGACTCCAGTCTTCCCGGACACTGGAATTACAAGGTCACTGCCCTGCCCAGCTCACAAGTACAAAAACTAAGCAGGCTGGGAAGAAATCCCCTTTGGTATTTTGAAGTATGCATTCCACACTCTTTTCAGCGTATATCCAAAGATGGGGTTGTGCCTCTTACGCTGAATCCCTTCCCACCTCACATCTCAGCAGGTGTAGCTGGGTGTAGAAGGACACTTGGACAGGTGTGACAGATGTGTGGCAGAACATTTTATTTATCCTATTGATGGTGTTTCCAGAAGATCCCTGTTGTCAAATCCCTCCTTAGGACTGTCCCTAGAATGGACAGAGATGATGCATGTTTTACGTCTTCGGACACATTAGCAATTCCTACTCCCTATAGAGTGTCTAGGAGGCCTTCTTTTGCCTTCCTCTAACTAACATAATTGTCCTTAGCTGCAAAATAACCCTCAGGAAACAGAATTCCAAAGCGAAGGCAGAGAAATAGGGACTTTGATTGTCCCCGTCCCCTCCCCTCTTTGCTAAACATAATGGTACAGGGAATAGTAACGGGGAATAGTTAAGGGTTCCTGGACAGAAAAGGAACTTCCCCAAACCTCAGGGCCTCCTAGCCTTCAGCTTGAAGCCGTCAAGATCTACTATGCCCTGTCGTGTAAGGCTAGATGGACCGAGGGAAGACTCTATTGGCCGACAGCAGCCAACAAGTTGACCCAGTGGCCAACAACGAAGAGGGAGAACGTGATCAGACTGGGTGGGGAGAAAGAGCTCTCCAGTCGCTGAAGACACACCCAACAGGTCCTGGCGATAGAATGAATCCAGCGTTCCAGGGAAGATGTGGCTTAAGTGGGGAAACTGCACCAGCAACGGTCTTTGCACCAGGCAGCAAGCTACACTAGCTGCCGGAGGACGCGAGGGGGCGCTGGTGCCCTGGAAGGGACGAGGCGGTCCCGGCGGAGCCTGGAGCGAATGAGCGCCTACCCACCAGGCCCATCCCCGCAGCTCCAGACCGGCCCCGGACTCCCGCGGGCGTGCGGGAGGGGAAAGCCAGGGCGCTCGGGAATCCGTTCAAAAGCCTTGCACCTTTTTTAGTGGCCACTGTCTTAAGGCAAATGATAGGACCTCGGCTACCCAGGCTCGTTAGGAAACACGGTTGGTACTGCCCCTCGCCCCAGGAAGGTTTTGGTGAGGATTAATGAATACACGCCGGCTGTAATTTTGTAAACACCCTTAAAGCAATCCAATCATCCCTCGGCACCACCAGTTTATTAACTTGGTGGCTACAGGGGCTAGCAGTGTATTTCAGTAGAGATTTATTCTATTCCGGCCTCTCTTTGTTCTGAAAAAGACTGTTACAACCCCCACCCCACCCTACCTCGGCCAACACACACACTCTCTCAAGAAGCTCCCCGTGTAACTACGGAGGCAAGAGTGGTTTCCATCCAGGAAAATTACTTCAAAAACCTTACCAGGGTTTAAAATCAATAAGTAGTGTCTGACTGGAGCTGTGCCATCCGGTCCCGGTCAGCTGTGAGCACTGACGAAAACAAAGTGTTGGATGTGGAGCGGGGCTGGGTACCCAGCACACCCAGCTTGCTTACTCGCTTACTGAGTTCAGTTCCCAGTTGGAGGAGATGGTTGGTGGCCACTCCGAGGCATGAGTGGACAAGATAGAGAGAGGCCTGAGCTCTGTGTTGGCAGTTGCCATGGTTTTGCTCCGAGTTCTGGAGCCAACCTGCCCGCTACCTGGGCAGTCAGGTCCCAGCAGCAGTAAGTTAGAAGCCTGTGGGAGACCTAGGAGTGAGGTCCTGGAGCCTGCCAGCCCAGCTGTTGAGATGGAAGCCGCAAGTGGGCAAGCGAGTGACGGAGATAAGCCACAAGAGGAGGTGAAGCGAGACTCTGGTGCGAGGGAGCCAGGGAAGGGGTTGGTTTTAGGAACCATGAACATAAAATTCAAAGAAGACAAGATGAAGAAAAAAAATGGTGCTTTATGTGAGTTAGCAAGAGCCCCCAAAAACAAGAGAACCTAATTCCTCCAAACAGTTGGGCTAGAGCATAGCTCAGTAGCTTGCCCTAGTCCTGGCTTAGATTTCCCAGAACCACGGAGTTAGGGATAAGCGGTAAACACGTTTATCAAAGAGGTGTTTTCTGGCAAGATGATGGGATATGCCTTTTTACTGTTCCTTAGAAAGGCTCCCCCATGCCTATGTGAGCACACATATGTGGGATGGTCTGTGTACAGTTATGTGGCTGTGTTTATGAGGTGGCCAAGATCCCACTCTACAGTTGGGAGGAACCTGTCCTGTCCCTTCTTTATCTTCCCCCTGGCTTCCCTTCAAAGTGCTCTGAGTGTGGCTCTTCCCACAGACAGCAGGTGACCTGACTGTCCTGAGAGGTTGTGGAAATGTGAAGTGCAAACTGACACGGGTGGCGCACGCCTTTAATCCCAGCACTCAGGAGGCAGAGGCAGGCGGATCTCTGTGAGTTCGAGGCCAGCCTGGGTCTGCAAAGCAAGTTCCAGGACAGCCAGGGCTACACAGAGAAACCCTGTCTCAAATAAACAAACAAGAAAGAAAGAAAGAAAGAAAGAGAGAGAGGAAGGAAGGAAGGAAGGAAGGGAGGAAGGAAGGAAGGAAGGAAATGTGTGGTGTGGCCCCATTGGCCCCAGCCTAATTCTGGCAAAGTTCTGGCACTAATTCACAGCCACTTTGTCACCACTAATTTTATATTTTGTTCCCTTTGCTCCACTTGGGTCACAAGATCCCTGTTATCACCACCTTATCTATGGGGTGCCCTTCAGATGCACGCCATAATGGTAAAATTCAGAGATTAACAGATATGGGCCTGGACCTCAATAAAGTGCCAAATAAAATGAAGAGCGATTGCTGCCTGTCCCCTTCAGGAGCCCCAGAATTCTTTAAATGCCCCCCCTTCTCAGTTACAAGCAGATAGATGAGAGCTAACCTCAAAGAATTTGTGGAAAAGAAAATGGGTTCAGGGCTGGAGAGATGGCTCAGTGGTTAAGAGCATTGCCTGTTCTTCCAAAGGTCTTGAGTTCAATTCCCAGCAACCACATGGTGGCTCACAACCATCTGTAATGAGGTCTGGTGCCTTCTTCTGGCCTGCAGGCATACACACAGACAGAATATTGTATACATAATAAATAAATAAATATTTTTTAAAAAAAAAGAAAAAGAAAATGGGTTCATGTTTATTAGGAGTTTGTAAAGTTTCTTAGGATAGCCAAGAAAGACCTATTGGAAAAGAAATAGGTGAAATATTATAGGTTTCTAAGCAGAGGTTTTCAGAGATGGGTTTTTTTTCCCAGGCTCACTAATCTAAAGATGCTTTAAGAAAGAGATCATAAGGAGAATGGAGAAGGGTTTGGCTGTCAAAGATATTTGCCAATATCTGCTCGGCACTGCAGAGGCCCAAGCCGCTCACTGACTGTGCCACCTTTTTCCAGGTGGGGAGCGTTTCCTGCGTAGAGAGGAGATCCAGCACCGTCCCTGCCAGAGATGCTCTGGTCCGTCATGCCAAGGGCCTGAAACAGGATACCTTCAAAATTGTAAGGGGCTATCCTGGAACCCTGTCCCCACTAGCCTGGGAGGAATCAGGAGGCTTCTGTTCCGAGTCCATCACCTGACCTGTCACACTCAGGATGGAGCTGGGGTGGGAGAGTCCATGGGGCCTTGCCACCACCCAGAGCCACGACAGACTGCAGTCCGGCCCATCTGCCAGACCTTTCTCCCCACCTCTCAACCCCCCCCCCCTTACCTGTGACCTCCTCAGTGTAAAGAATACCTGAGACCGCTGAAGAAGTTCCTGCGAAAGTTGAACCTGCCCAAGGACCTTCCCCAGAAGAAGCGGATAAAATACACGAAGCAGAGCCTTGAGGCCCTCGGGGACCACATCAACACCTTCCTGCAGCATTACTGCCGAGCCTGGGAGACCAAGCACTGGAAAAAGTAGGCAGCCTCCTTGCCTTATCCCACTTCCAGTCACCATGACGCTATGGTCAAGATCCTCCAGGCAAGGAGAGGGTTAAGATCCCGGGGGACAGTGATGTTATAAAGAACAGGTCCCTCTAGCCTTCAGGGCAGCACTGACTGTTCCTTGGCTGTGCACATGGTAGGCACAAGCCTTGGCCAAGAGCCTCCAGATACTCAGTAAGGCATTTGTTTCTAAGCCCGATGACCTGCGTTCCATCCCTCAGACCCGTGAGGTGGAAGGAGAGATCCATCCTATTGCTAGTCCCCAGACCTCCACACATGCACTATAGCAAACACACACACACACACACGCACGCACACACGCGTGCACACACATGCGCGCACACACACACACACGCATGCACACACGCGTGCACACACACACACACACACACACACACACACACACACACACACACACACGTTTTAAAGCCTCTCCTGAGAAGAATCCTTGAGCTGCTATGTGCTGGTGCTTGTTACCAGCCGGTGGCATTTCTGTCCTGGTCTCCACCTCCATCCCCTAACCTGAACAGGAAGCAACTTGCAGCCCATTTCTCCTGGGTTCTCCTGGTCACAGGATACTGCGAGGGAGAGTGGGCTCCGGCAGCCGCTCTCAGTGCGAGGGAGACTGGGCTCCGGCAGGCGCCCTCAGTGCACACATAGGGAGAGTGGGCTCCAGCAGCCGCCCTCAGCCTGGTTTCTCTCTGCAGGATGCTCTGGCGGTTTGTCTCTCTCTTCTCAGAACTGGAATCCAAGCAGCTTCGCCGGCTTTATAAGTATACCAAAACCAACCAAACAGCCAAGTTCCTGGTGAGGCTTTCCAAATAGCTCCTTTAAGGTCCAGCGGGAGATTGGTCGATGTGTTCTTAGATCGGACTGAGTGGCCCATTGATACCTGTCCCTTCTTGTCCCTCCCAGCGCTCACTGCTGAGGAAGCACCACCAGGCATACCTTCCTCTACACTGGGCCCTGGGGGAGCTGACCAGGGCCACCAAGTCAAGACATTTATTCCTCCTCCATACTCGGACTTTAGAGAACAGTTGAGGCCAGCCTGGGGACATCTCCAGGGCCTGAAAACAGAACTTGGCTTAGCTCTATCCACACACAGTGACTCTCAGCTGCCCTGATCTCAGGACATTTATTTCTTGAGATCAGTGATCGCTCCAAAGATGTGCTTATGTGACTATAGCTGTTCATACTTACCCTATTAAAGCTCACAGATAAGAAAATTTTAAGTGTATAGTTACTATTTGAAAATTAAAACAGGAGATATGTGTAAATATTCTATGAAAATACTTATGAGAAAGTAACTTTGCTTTCAAAGCAATTCAGAAGAGCGGTGGGGTTTGATCTTTCCAGCTGTCTTTAGCGTCTGGCTCAAGGGAAGCAGCTGCAGATCAGGTCTCATTCAGTGGTCTCATGATACACTGTCGGCTGAGCGCATGGAAGTGCGGCCTCACACAAATAGAGATTTAGGAAAGAGCAGATATTTTTCTTGTTGTCAAACAAAAAATGAAACAAGTAGTAGTTTCTCAGTTGTGTGGAGTCTGAACATATCGGGAAACTTTTAAAAGTTTAATAGGCAGTCATGGGGCGGTGGTGGCGCACACCTTTAGTCCCAGCACTCTGGAGGCAGAGGCAGGCGGATCTCTGTGAGTTTGAGGCCAGCCTGGTCTACAGAGCAAGTTCCAGAGCAGCCAGGGCTACACAGAGAAACCTTTGTCTTGAAAAACAAAAAACAAAGCAAAAATCCACAGACTTTGTTTGTTTTGAAACAAGTTCTCACTTGAGCTCACTATGAAGCCTCGGGTGCTCCCAGATTACAGTCTGCCTGCCTTAGCCTCCTAGGTGCTGGAATTCAGAGACCGTGCCACTGTGATCAGCTGCAAAATGAAAAAAAGACTTTTAGCCAGTGGTCCATGCCTTTAGTTTTAGCGCTGGGAAGCAGAAGCTGGCAGGTCTCTGTGATCGATCTGTGAGTTCAAAGACACCCTGGTCTACACAGTGCGGTCCAGGCTAGCCAAGACTACATAGACCTTGTCTTAAAAAGTAATAATAAAACCACTTTAAAGGACTATCAGTGGAAAAATCAGTGGGTCTAGCTGCTGCCACCCACACTTCCATGCTTCCACAGCCATAGAAAGCGCCTTTAGGTGCATTTGTCAAGACTAGTAAGACAGCATCAGTGAGCCCTTACTAGAGAAGACCCGTGGGTCACATCAGAAGTTAAGTTTGTGTTTGCATATATTCTATTGTTTCTATTTTATTTTTAAAACTTTTAAAATTAACATATTAATATACAAATGAGTTTTTAGATTTTCATACATGTATAAAATGTGTTTTAATCATATTCATTTTCCATACACTTCTCTTACCCCCTCACACACTTACTGATCTTTTGCTAACTTCCTTCTGCTTTCATCTTTTTTTGTGTGTGTATGACCCAATAAATTTAATTAGAGTTGCTTATAACAACACGGAAAAAAAGATAGATTGTTTGCAAAGTATGGGCAACTTAACTGTGACACACAGGTGGAAAAGAGTGTCCCTCCTTCTCTGGGCACCCATTGGCAGTCTATAGATCTGGAGCCTTGTGAACTCCTCCCCCTGATTGTCTTTTCTTTTTTTCTTTTATTATTTTTCTTTTTCTTTTTTTTAAATTTATTAATTATGTATACAGCATCTGCCTGCATGTATCCCTGCAGGCCAGAAGAGGACACCAGATCTCATTATAGATGGTTGTGAGCCACCATGTAGTTGCTGGGAATTGAACTCAGGACCTCTGGAAGAACAGTCAGTGCTCTTAACCTCTAAGCCATCTCTCAGCCCCATTTTCTTCTTTTTCTGAGTACAAACGAGACATCTACATTAGCTTGGGCTATGACAGGCCGTTTACTGGAATTATCCTACCCTCTACCTACTGAAAAACAGCTGTCAATTTAATCTTCTTAAGACATCCCCCACCCACTCACACCGGCATCACAGACGGCAGTCCTGATTTCTGAACACATAGGCTCACAGTAAGTTTTCCATTCTACATGCAACTCTAAAACCCAGGCCAGCCCTTATGGCGTGGCACTCACAGCCTCCACCCTCCCATCACATCCCAAAGGCTGGATTCTGAATGCAATGACATACCCAACATGTTTATTACATCCCTGCCATGAAACTCAAGACTTCACTCCTGCTGGGCACACGTTCCACTAGTGAGTTACACCCTCAGTCCGTATGCAAACAGAACACACAAACAATGATCTGGATATACAGGGCCCTCACTGTTAATTCTAATTTCTTGCTTCTATCAACACCCAGATGCTTCCAAATAATCACTAGCTTTAAATATTAGTTAACAGTAGCATCGGGATTTTGTGCCCCAGGCATGAAACAGCTTTGGCCACCAAGCCAGGCCTCAAGCTAGGATGAACAAAGGACTGCCACCTGCTCTGCCCCTGGCTGACATAAGAACACCCCCACCACCACGGTGTCTCTTTGCCCATTGCCAGGGGTCTGATTTTTCTTTTAGACTGGGTCTTGCTGTTGAGTCTTGGTTGGCCTCAAATTTCCAATCCCCTTGCCTCAGCCCAAGTGGTGGGATTACAGGCATGCACCACTACATCCACTAGAGGTTTTGGTAAGTGTATGGTGAACGTCCCTAGCCTTACACTGTCTCTCAGGATAGGTCACTCCCCCTGTCTTCAGTGATCCACTACCCATCCTCTCCCTCCTTCCTGAGAGTGCATGGCACACTGCTCTTCTCACTGCACTGACAGCTTTGTTTTGTATGTCTGAGACAGTGTCTCTCTGTGTAGCTCTGACTGTCCTGGAACCAGGCTGACCTTAAACCCAGAGATCCACCTGCCTCTGCCTCTGGAGTGCTGGGATTAACGGCGTGCACCGCCGCCGCCCGGCTGCACTCAGAGCTTCACTATCCCAGAACTGCTGGCTGCAGCCATGTAGGGCACGCCTTCTCAGGAATCGCTCAGTGGACTCTCCTCACTATTTTCCATTCGAAGCCATTGGTCTGTCTTGCACGTGTTAAACAGATCTCACCTTCTGAGGATTCTCTCAAGGCTTCTAAACACACTTGAGAGCCTCTGGTTCAAAAGAACAGTCCCAAGAACAGCAGTGAACGTCGCCTTTGTGCCAAGCACTTTCTGTTCCTTCCTGTGATCTTCACAAGTAACTCTGAGTAGCAATTAGAACGATTACCCACGATTTGTAAATGAGGCATCCAAACGCAGGGTTGAGATAACTGCGCCAGGACGCACAAGGGCGAAGACCGCCAGAATGCTGTCTCCCTCTGCCTTTACGAATGCCTGACTTAACCTGCTCTGCCGGTCCCTCGCTTCTCCGCATCTCAGCGGCTGCCCTCCAACACAAATGCTTGAACCATTTTGTTAATTCTTTTTCTTTTCCTTCTATTTATTTTGGTTTTGCAACGCTGGGGTTGAATTCAGGGCCTCACACAAATAGGTAAATGCTCTATTGCAGATTTGTTTGCTTGTTTTCTTTTTACTATCTGGAGGGACAGCCGTGGGTGCTGGGAACCGAACTCTTATATTTTTGGTTGTGAGCCTAGCCTTTAACGGCTGAGCCATCCCTCCAGGCCTGTTTGTGTGTTTTTTAGAGACAGGGTTTGTCTGTGTTATAGTTCTGACTGTCCTAGAATTTGCTTTGTAGACCAGGCTGGCCTCAAACTCAGAGATCCTCCTGCCTCTGCCTCCTGTGTGTTGTGTTGGGATTAAAGGCACGACACCACCAGGCTTCTACTACAGATTTATCTACATAGCCCTGTCTTGTCTTTTCTTGAAGAGAAGAGGCAGGGGGACTGTTGTATTGCCCAGATTGACTCTGACTTCTGGGTTGAGTGATCCTCCTGCCTCTGGTGCTATCAGAGGTGTCCGACTCTCGTACTTCCTTTTCTAACTAGAAGACGTTGCCATTATAGTGACTCCTGGATTTCTGGATCTCACTGGCAGGGAAAACTACAAAATATATCTTTAGGCTTTCAATTTAAATTATTTTAAAGTTAGGATTTTGAAAAGAAAGCAAGCAGCATTCCTCTGTTTCATTACAAACAAGCACACAAGACACCATCACTCACAAAAACTTGGAAGGTTTAACTTTAAAATAAACAGTAACCCGGCTGGGGTCTGAGGGCAACAGGACACTTGCTTGGCTTGCGTGAGGCCCTGGTTTCCATCCCCGGCACTGCTGGAAATGAATGAAAGGAAATACCTGGGTGTAATAGTGCAGGCATAATCAGAGCCTTCTGTAGCTGAGACAGGAGGATTGCGCTTGGACGTCTTAGGATGGATAAACTTACCTAGGGGACACAGCTGTCTGCCTAGCCAACCCTGGGTTTCCAGTTTTTCTGTGACTCTCACCTCATCCTTTTGACTAGGCAGATGTGAGATCCCATGGTCTCTCAGCAGCTGGGGGAGGGGCTGGGTAAAGCTGGTACTGTAGAATTTAGGCCACTCTCTTCTCCAGCCTCTCCTCAACAATGGACCCAATTTCAGGTCGCGTTCTGTCCCTTGGATGCACCCTTGCTGGTGAGCAAGAGATCCTTGCTGGCCAGCCAGGAGGATAGTCTTCCCAGGCTCTGCAGCGCCTGGGGCTTGCATGGAAATATCAGCGGCATGAAGGAGAGGTTGTCCAAGATGCAGGCCCCTGGTCGAGAGTCTGGCCTGCTGGTGGAGCCAAGATCCTCAAACTACTTGAGAGGAGGTGAGGCCCACTGGGTGTCCGGGGAGGTGTCAGGGGAGGTACCTGGATGGGGGGCTGGGAGAAGTTTGGGGATTTCTCAGCAACAGGCTGGAGCCTCCGCTCTGGGCCTGACACGCCCTCTTCCATCCTTTCTACCATCTCTTCCTGCTGTGTTTTCCTTCTGTCCTTTCTTCCCCCTTCTTCGGTCTCTTTTCTATTTTTAGCTCCTTCCCAGAAACACTCATTATAGAATCTTTAAAGTATGAGGATAAATGCGGGGAATAGAAAACAAAGAAAATTGCCCGATACCCAGAGGCCAGTACTCTTGGCATTTAGTGTGGTTCCTTCGGTGTTCTGTGTAACACCCACTGCAGAAGTCATAGTATGTATGTTTTGAATCCTGTATGTTTTAGTTAACATGTGTAACGGCCCTTTCTCGTCTGACTAGAAGCAGGGTGGAAACAGTTCTAAGTGCTGAGAGCATGGACCCTCAGGAGGTGTGGGGTAGCACTGGCAGGATGCCCACTCTGATGGCGTGGAATAAAGGGACAATGGGGGCTCTCATCCTACAGTGAACTAGATGGCACGGGAATGGCCTTCCCAGTCGCTTGGCCTTGGTGGTGACCAAAATGTCTTGTTCTCTACATGGGGTTATGGGTTTAGGAGAAGACACTTGCCACTAAGCCTGGTTGACTGAGTTTTATTCCTGGGATTCACAGAATAGAAGGGGAGAACCGATTCCCACAAACCGTCCTATGACCTCACACACATGTACTTTGGGCCATGCGTCTCCCCCCATAAATAAAGGTAATTTTAAGAATTTAAAACAAAGCCAGGTGGTGGTGGTGGCACACGCCTTTAATCCCAGCACTCACAGAGATCTGCCTGCCTCTGCCTCCCGAGTGAGGATTCTTTACTCCTCTGCATATATTACTGGGATTTCTTCTTAGTTGTTGTATCATTGGAACCCTCTATGACTTCTGTTCTTTCAGATTCTTTAAGGAGACTTTCTCAAAAACCAAAGCTGAAGAAAAAGCAGATTAAAGAGAGCCCAGAATCTCCCAAGAGCTACCCATGAGAAGATCCACAAGGATGAAGGCCAGCTCTCTCTGGCTCTCTGAGCACTTAAATGTACACTCTGGGGGGTGAGGAGGGTGAATGGGCCAAAGAAAAATTTACTTTATCAAAGGGATGCTCAATTTTTCATAATGAATAAATGGGGAAAATTCTGTTTTACTTGACTGAAGTTTATTCATCTTTTATTTGCTTAAAAATATTAGAGCCAGGCTTGGTGGTCACACCTTGAATCCCAGTACTTGCAAAACAGAAGCAACGCTCTATGTGTTTAAGGCCAGCCAGCTCTACATAGGGAGTTCCAGGACAGCCAAAGCTACACATTAAGACCCCCAGAGGAAAAAATGTTTGGAGACACTTCCTAAGTGGCAGGTAACCCACCTGTGCACAGATAGTGTGGCCACCTGTGTGGAGGGGCATCCAGGTCCGGTGGGGAGAAAGAACAAAGAGGCTTACGCGTGTTAGCCACAGGCAAGCACAGGATAGGAAAACTGATTAAACCGGGCCAGTCAGTGAAAACTCTGGCAGCCTATGAATCATCTAGACTCCATCATATGGGTAGCTTGGGACAGGTGGTGGCAAGGGAGGAGAGATGCAATGAAACAGATGCCACTTGGGGGACTGGGGAGATTTCCAGGGATGGGAGCCAGGTATAAGGAGGTGAGAGAGGCTAGAGACAGAATTCCAAAGAAGCAGCATCCACAGTCTGCTAGAATGGCGATCTAGCCCCCAGTGATGAGTTCCACTTGCCACCATCATTTAAAAATGCCACTTGCCGCTATTACAGCTGTATTGTTTCCCGTCAAATGCAAAATCAAAATTTGGGCTCCTCATACAGTTCCCTCTGTTTGGATATGCTTTCCTATGTAACAGCTGAGGAGCAGCTGCATCAGCCTCACTGATAGGCTTCCTAGTTCACAGTCTCCTCCCACCCCTAGTTGGTCTTAATAATAAAATCCCAGAGTCAGATATAGGGCTTAATGCTGAAGATCAGAGAGACAGAGAGGCCAGACACCAGAGTTCTTTACCTCTACCAATGCTGAGACGGAAGGGTCGATCCTGTTCTGACTCCGTTTGGCTCCACTAAACCTCAGACTGCCCTGCTCCTGTCTCCTTCCACCTTACATTCCTCTCTCTGCTCAGCCATATCTCTCCTGTGTCCATTTCCCTCAGTCTCTATGAGTTGGAGGCCAGCCTGGTCTGCAGAGAGAGTTCTAGGACAGGCACCAAAAAGTTACAGAGAAACCCTGTCTTGAAAAACAAACAAACACAAAAAAGCCAAAAAACCAAAACTAAAAACCAAACAAACCAAAAAACCCAACAACTTTGTTATTGACTGACTGGTTGGTGCATATGGTGTAGGTGTGTGTGTATGGTGTGTGTGTGTGTGTGTGTGTGTGTGTGTGTATGGTGTGTGTGTGTGGTGTGTGTATGGTGTGTGTGTGTGATGTGTGTGTGTGTGTGATGTGTGTGTGGTGTGTGTGTGTGGTGTGTGTGTGCATGCTCGTGCCACAGCTTGCTTGTGGAGGTTAGAGGTTGTTGGGAGTCTCTCCTTCCGCCATATAGACCCAGGACAGAGCCAGGGTTGAAGATCAGAAAGGATCTTATTCACTCAAGCCAACCATATCCCTCTGAACCACACCCTCGGCAGTCAGTCAGTGGGTTTGGGTGATGCCTGTGAGAGGCAGGAAAGGAAAGGAGGAAGCCAGAGGGGTGGAAAGGGCGGGCTGTCTCGAGCTCCAGAAACCAGCTAGATGGTGATTCCACAGAAGGAAGTAGGCTCAGCGACATTCTTTTCAAACGCATTTGTGTCTGTGTGACTGTAGGGAGCCTGTGGGATCCTCTGGAGCTGGAGTAAATGGTTCTGGAGTAAATGGAGCTGGAGTAAATGGTTCTGAGCCAACTCGTGTGCATGCTGGGAACACCCACATCTTCCTCTGGAAGAGCTAGAAGCACACTTAACTCTGATAACCTTCTCTCCAGCCCCTAAGGTCCAGTGAGTTTGTTTTATGAGACAGCATCTCTCTGTGTAGCCCTGGCTGTCCTGGAAATTGCTCTGTAGACCAGGCTGGCCTCGAACTCGGACCCACCTGCCTCTGCTGGGATTAAAGGCATGTGCCACCACCGCCCGGCTCTTTTTTTTTTTTTTTTTTTTAAACATAAGCGACAAGTTAACAAGGACCCTACCAAAGGCAGCAGGATAAGGAAACCAGGTAGCTTAGGACCACAGTAAATGTCTGAACCTTTGTCTCTCTTCTCTCTCAGTTTGTATCCAGAAGAAAATTTCAGCACAGAACTAACTGTGAAATGAACATCTGTCTAGATGAAGTCCAGAGAGGGAAGCAGAAGGGGGGACACGTGGTACGAGCGCAGCTCTCTCTCTGCCCTTGACCGAGTGCTTCCGGGGTGCTCAAGAAGGGACTCCGGGGGCCTCCTGGCTGGCTGATCCATGACAATTGTGACAGAACAGGAGAATTTCGGGGAGAGGGGTCGACAAGTGCGAAGGAGCATGACGCTGAGGGGCTCTTGGCAAAATAGAGCGCTGGTCACTGTCTGTGGGGCAGCACCGCCACCTACAGGAACTGTGGGCAGAACCTCTGCCTTCCAACAGGCTGTGGTGCGCCCAAAGAGGCCCGGGGAGGAGCAGGTGGGGAGCTCTCCGGAGAGGCAACAAGGGCGGGCTGGGTTTGGCCTTCTCTAACTTTTTCCTCAAACCCAGTAAGCCCTTAGAATTCTAAAACAGCAGATCACAGGTTTCTCTGCTCAAAACTCCAACGTTCCTCATTTCATCCGAAGCCAGCGTCAGCTGGACCTGCAGGTGCATACTATAATCTCAGCGATGGGGAGATGAGGCGGGAGGTGAGGCAGGAGGATCCAGAGTTCCAGGACAGCTTGGGTAGCATGATTCAACCTGTCTCAAAATAAACAAAATAAATAATAAAAATAAAGTCCAAGTCGTTGTCAGGTTCTGCTAGATCTATGATCCCACTCCTGCAATTGTTTAGCTACGTCTCTGCCCTAACCCTTGCTTTCCGCAAGCTTGCCAAGTCTGTCGCTATTTCAGTTTTCTGTCACTCACAAAGTACACACGATAATAAATTTACAAAAAGGATTTTTTTGTTTATATATTTAGCACACACATAAGTGTGTGGGCACACTTGTGCCCGGGCCCATCACATGCGAAAGCCGGAAGACAATTTGATTTTTGGTATATCTTAAGCAATTACAATAGTAGTCACTTAAAATTCTATTGAATTAACAAATTAAAGAAGATATCCGAACAGCATCTTTTCAACCACTGTCTAGAGGAGAAAAGAACCCCCCCCCCCCAAAGAAAGGTGATTGATGTCTCTTGTACCTGAAGTCTGTGTAGGAACTAGGACTCGGTACTGATGAGCACGGGCCGCTCGCTGCAGCACACAGCGACCCTGTGCCTCTTGCTCTTGGGCAACCTTCATTTTTCATAGCATGTTAATAACTGGCAGACTGATGTATGTTTTTAAAATATTTACGTGTTTGCCTGTGTGAAAGTACGCCCACTGCATGTATACCTGGTGCCCTCTGAGGCCAGGAGATGGCGCCAAATGCCCTGGAACTAGAATTAGGTGGCCGTGTGAGCTGTTCCGTGGGTGCTGAGAACTGAACGCAGGACCTCTGCAAGAGCAACACATGCCCTTGACCTCCAAGCGCCTTCTTCAGCCCTCTAATGCGTTTGTTACCTCTAAGATTAGCTGTTGTGGTCAGCTAAGGTGTCTCCACCCAAAGTCTGATGCGGCAGTGATGGGGTGGAGGCATCAGAGAGCAGCTGGGGCAGCTGTGCCGAGGGAACTCGCTGTTACATCATACACGGATCTGTGCTCTTACGGTAAAGCTAATCCTGGAGGGTGGCGGGGGGGGGGGGGGGCACAAAACCAAACAAAACCAGGGGTCCTCCACCGTCTCTCCATAGCAACACCTCTGTGCATGTCTGTGGTTCAGATGAGTGAGCGCTTTATCCTTCCCATTAGATTTGCGTGTCAAACTTGTCAGCCAGACTTCCCTATGGTAGACAGGGAAGCAGAGGTCGGCACAGCTGAGCCAGGACCCCCACTGTCAAGGCCTCTTCTAGTGGATGTAGACATTTTCCATTTTTTATATAACTAAATCGTAAAGCTTTTATTTTATGGGTTTTAATGACTTTGAAAGGACTTCTGCACTGAGAGTATTTAAAATTCTACCACGTTTTCTCCCAGCATTCCACTTCCAGTGTCTGCTTTGAACCACTGGGCTACCTAAGCTTATTTTGTTTGATGTCGTGCGGTAGGAATGCAGTGTGTGTGCTTTCCAATTGGCTGAATGAACACTTGTTCGTGGGCGTGAGAGTATATTTATAGCCTGTAGCATTTAGGGGAAAGCCTTTTTAATATGACCATTCTAGATGTAGGGTTTCTTTCTTTTTCTTTTTTTTCTTTCTTTATTTTTCTTTTTTCTTTTTTTTTCTTTTTTTTTTTGGTTTTTCGAGACAGGGTTTCTTTTTTTTTCTTTCTCTTTCTCTCTCTCTCTCTCTCTTTTTTTTTTTTTTTAGAGCACATGGATGCTTTTATTGGCTATCTGTGGCCCCAGGGGACACACTAAGCAGCATGTGATTGGCTGAAGTCCCCCATCATCTCCCCCTTTCTCTAAACAAGATCAAACTAAACCCAATACAACTATATACAGTAGGAACAGATACCAAATATAAAATTACAAACAACAAACAATATTAAGCAAGAAACATATAACAAAAGTTTTGCTAAGCATTCTATTTCAAGGAGTCTAAATAATGTAGAGGGTAACTACAATTATCTTGCCTCTTACTGGCTAATTCTCACATATTGATTAATCCATTTCTATTACTGAGTGTAGCACCATGAGGTGGTGGCTTACCAGGAAGGATCGTAACCTGCGTCGAGACAGGGTTTCTCTGTGGTTTTGCAGCCTGTCCTGGAACTAGCTCTTGTAGACCAGGCTGGCCTCGAACTCACAGAGATCCGCCTGCCTCTGCCTCCCAAGTGCTGGGATTAAAGGATTATTTTGGTTTTTCGAGACAGGGTTTCTCTGTAGCTTTAGAGCCTATCCTGGAACTAGCTCTGTTGACCAGGCTGGTCTCGAACTCACAAAGATCCGCCTGCCTCTGCCTTCCGAGTGCTGGGATTAAAGGCATGCGCCACCACCACCCGGTCTAGATATAGCTTTTCTATATCAAATTCCTGGTTTACTTGGGTCTATTTCCTAAACTTTATGTTGTTTTGTGGGTTAGCTCTGTTATTTCACTGCGATCTAAATGAAAAAGAGCATAAACCATAACAATAAAATTGGACATAACAGGCACAGATTGGAAAAGGAACTGTTTCTTGTTATTGTGGTTGTTTTACATTTATTTCATGTGTATGTGGCTCTGGCCTGAACTGATGCTCACTGTGTAGACTGAAGTGCCGTAGACGCCCCTCCCTGCCTCTGCCTCTCACGTACTGGAAATAGAGTGTGTCCCTGGCCCTGGCCCTGATGGTTTTTCTTCCATATGGATCATGGCTGATTTAACTGCCAGGCATTTCTAAGAGAAATGTTTACTGTGAGTACTGGGGATTGTACTACGGTCATCAGGCTTGGTGGCAAGTGTCTAGACCCACTGAGACATCTCTGCCAGTCCTGCCTGCACAGGTTGACATTTCCTAACTGTACATAAAAGTTACCATCTTATTATCCCCAGCCTTTCATGTGCTGCATCCTAACCATTTTTATTGTAGTTATGCTCGCACTTTCTGTGTGACCAATCTCCAGCACTTCCTTATTGTGTAAAACAGAAACCATACCCATTAAGGAACCATATTCCCCATTTCCCCAAATTTCTGACAAATTCTTTCATTGTGAATATTACACTAAAATCATATAGGAATTGTATTTGGCTTTGCTTGTTTTGAGACAAGGTCTCATGTAGCCTAGGCTGGCTGCAAACTTAATATACAGCCCTGATGATCATGAACTGATCCTCATGCCTCTGAATCTCAAGTGCCGGGAATACCAGTATGTGCAACCGCACTCCGCTGTTGGACCTGATATGCTAAGAAGCCCAACAGCGGAGTGCGGTTGCACATACCCATCAGGTCCACCCTTGTTATAGTGTTCTCATAGCTCATGTGGAGGAAGCAAGCAGAGAAAGCAGGCTTTTGTTCAAGGTACTTGGCTTTATGCTATTCAAAATGAGACCTGTGGCTGGCGAGATGGCTCAGTAGTGAAGCAGCTGCTCTTCCAGAGGACCTGGGTTTGACTCCCAGCATCCTATCATCTGTATGGCCCAGCGCCAGGGTACCTGACACCCACTTTGGCCCCCGCAGGCACCTGCACACAGGCGGCACACATTCACACACACACTTCAAAGCATTTAAAATGAGCCTCGTTTCCTTAAGTCCTTTTGACTGTCTCCTTTTTAGAGGAGCAATCTCCTTCATGTGAGGAAAAGGAGTTAGAATGATACCCTCAGATTCTTAGAGGGGCAGTTGGAACTGAATCGCACACAACGGGGGACTAGAGAACTCTCTTTCACCGAACTCCACTAGGTCTCATGGACCCACAGCCTTTACAGCCAAGCTACCGACAGCGACAGCTGCCCTCCTTGGCACCGTCATTCCTAGGGGCTCCAGGAGCACGGCTCCCGGTGCGGTCTCCATGAGCCTCCGCAGCACAGCTTTTCTTCAACAAGAGCACTTCTGTCCTAGGGCCGAGCTCCTCCACTCGGCTCTCCAGTGAGAATAGTCTACACAATTAGAAAGCCCCGAATTCCAACCCAAGGCAATCACAACTCAATTGGAAACACACACCATGAATGCAGGAGCACTATTTATTAGGTCAATAATTTTTAGCAATACAAGTACAGAATATATCACAATGCTGGTTACAAACATACTTAGTGTGGTTTTATAGTTACAAATAACAGTGGGTGCTACAAGTAGGTGAGAATGCTTTGAAAGGTTGTTCTGACTCAATGAACTGTCTTCTCCATCTATTAATGACCTCAGATATCTAGAGAAATCCCTGTGGCACTAGTAGTGGGGATTTTCCTGTAAAGAATGTTAGTGATTCATCTGTAATTATTCTGTTAAAGTTTTTCTTTGCGCCTATTAAACTAAAACCCCTGTTGCTTAATAAGGTATAAAAATAGTACTGACCTGGTAATATTTAATAAAATGTAGCATTCATTCACATAATAAAAGTAAAACTAAATTGAAAGGTTTTTAGTCACCATGGCAACATATTTTCCCATAAAAGGAATATACAGAAATGAGTGCTGTTATACAAATGGTACCTGCGATTCAGTGATCCAACACTTTGTGCACCACAACTGAGTTTTCTAGATCCCTATACACAGCATGTATATCTAATCTCAAACTGTACTCTGTGCATTCCAGCAAACGTTAAGGCCACTCATACTATAGATACCTAGCACCGCAGTTAACAACAGTGCTACTGAAGAGATCCTCAAACACACGCCTTCAGTCACCACCAGGGAGAAGCCTACTCTGCCTAAAACATTCCTGAGATCTGGGGACAAAGGAACGACTAATGTTAAAATCTGTAGACTAATTCAAATTTCTACTCAAAATAAATCTTTCTGTCCAGGTAATCTGAAGTCCTCTAAAGCCAAGAGGTGAAAGAAGTGTTAATCTTTAAAACAAAAATAAAACTCTTAAAAAAAACATTAATTATAAATAATTTTTCCAGTAGTAACTCTGCCATCCAGAAAAAGATTTGGAAGCAGCAAGGCTAAAAACCCTAGGGGGAAACCTATTTTAAAAAGTGGCAGTTAAGACCTGTTACTTAGCAAAGCAGCCTTAGGATTTGCAGTTTTGGCCAAAGCTTGCATCATCCTTAGGTCAGCTGTCTGCACCATAAAGCTACGTTCAACAGTAGGGTCAAGACATCAAGCTTGCAGCTGCTGCTCTTGCATTTGCTTTCTTGAGATAGGGCCTCACTAGGTTGTCCTGGCTCATCTCAGCCTCCCGAGCAGCTGGGATCAAAGCTTGTGCCACCACGTACAGCCTCCTCATGTACTTAATGTTCACAAGACTATGGAGTCTTTTCACAGTATAGTACAAAGGTCTTTATTTAAATCGTTTATTCTGACAATGCAGGAATACCTGGGCAGGGGATTGGTGAGTTGCTTTTTGAAAAAGAATGCAGAGTTGATGGAGAAAGGTCCAAATCCTCAGGGCAATGTCTAGTTTGAGGACCCATAAATATTATGAACTAAAAACCCAGTTGGTGCTAGTAAACTGAATGCAAGTGACCCACCTGTGTCGTATGCATGAGCCCCCGACGCCCCCAATGGAGTAGCACCAAGCTTTAGGAGTAAAAAGATTCAGGGGCAGGTGAGATTATAGGCCCTTATTGAAAATTACATGCAAGTCATTGATTTTTGTGAGGTAAATATTAAGTTTTTCCTTTGAGATTTTTGTTTGAGGCAGAATCTCTCTGCCTCACTCAGTGTACTGAGTACTGAGAGTATAGACGCGCTATCACATCCCACTTTATTTTAAAAGTCAAATCATGGTGGCTTTCCTCTCCCTCATTCTAAACATTCTTGATAGAAGGCTGAGTCCTCCGCTTGACATTATTAGGGCATTACTTTTTCAGCAGAATAAGAACATATCAAATCACATCACTTAAGATGGTAGATTGTGCCAGGTGGCGGCAGCCATGCCTTTAATCCCAGCACTTGGGAGGCAGGCAGATCTATGAGTTTGAGGCCAGTCTGGTCTACAGAGTGAGTTCCAGGACAGCCAGGGCTACACACACACACACACACACACACACACACACACACACACAAAAAAAAAAAAAAAAAACCCTGTCTTGGGAAAAAAAAAACCCAAAAACCAAACCAAATAAAAAAACTCAAAAAACAAAACAGATTGCCAGAATGTAGCATTAGATTTTTCTGAACTTACAGATAACTATATTAAAGGAATGGTAAGATGGAGAAACTTGACAAGAACGATGCTGGGGGTGGCGGCTGGTTGTCATCTGACATTATAGCCCTGTGACCACAGGCTTCTAACTAGCATGTTACTATATCACCAAGTATGAGCTAAGTTTAAACTGTGTTAGGGGGTATGAGTCTTTAAGTTATCTGATTATACAAAATGCTGTATATGCATAACACTAAAAATTCAGATTAAATAAAAATAATTCATGTGGAAACTTAAGTTTCAAAATATTTATTGAAAACAACTTAGCATGACATTCCTATACCACACACATACCACAGGGCTCTAAATAGCCGATAAAAGCATACAAAGCCTATCTTGAAAATGTCTTTGGAGGTACTGAACATACAGGCCCGTGCGATTGGAGTTGAGAAACTTAGAAATGCTGCCGTTACCAGGGAGGGATGAGCTGCATGAACTACAGGGTGCTCGTTTATTTTTTGAAGAATTTATAAAGAAATTTAGCTAGAGGAATAAATAAATTCACATCTCTGAACCCAAAGCTGTTATCTTAGGGTGTGAGCTTGCCTTACCTACTCAGGCACACCCTCAGTAGGTTCCTTCCTAAGGACTACACACACTGGCTTATCATTAAGACCGCAAAGAGCAGTTTCAAACAAAGTTAAAACTGGAAAGTTAAAAAAAAAAAAAAGAGGTTTAAGAAAATCCTGACGTCTCTAATGTTTCTGGACTCTACATGATAACGTTGTTTCTCCCTTACCCAACAAGCATGCTAAAAGAACAAAATTTGACACACATCCACTCAACCTACATACTATCCCAAGCATTGTCAGGAGTAGTGTATCTAATGGCCAAGTCAGGACCCCCTGAAAATAGGGGAGAAACCCAGACTCTTAACTACAGAGGCACCAGAGGGGCCACTGTGCTAAGAATTGAGGTAACAGCAAGAGACCTTTTTGTTTCTTTTTATTATATGTCACAACTTAGGAATTGAGTATTAGCTCCATGTTAAACAACCTGGCTAGCTTTAACAAATTAGAAAATCAGACATTGTAGTTGGAGGATCTTCCCATTTGACTCTGGGTTTCAGTTAAAATGACTAGATGTACTATTATTTCCCATAAAAATGAAGGATTTTCTAAGACTTATGCATTTCTTGTGCATTCAATCGTCTTAATCCCCACAGAGTAAACCTAGAATTCTCGTCTGAGCATGAGTTATCTCACGACTCTCAGCCAGTATGCAACATGGAGCACTGGACAAGACTAAAATGGGGGTGGTCACAGCAGTTAGAGACTTGCTTATGACACTGCCATCTATGTACCTTGACTAAAAATTTGCCGCTGACATTGCCTAAATCCCAGTTTGGTATCTATGATACAAACAAAACTCTTGCATTAATACTTTGCATTCCATCTAAATGAAATTATTCTATTGGAAAAGGCAAGTGCAGTGACTAAAATAATAATCTAAAGCCCCTGGTCCAAATAACCACCTTCCACAGGTGCCTGGTCCTCTTCAGAGCCTCCTGGTCCTGTTAGCAAACACTGTTAGAGCAGCCCACCACTGTACCAGAAACAAGAGTAAGAGCTGAGCTGCTGGTCCACCTGGTGTTGACTGACAGAGCAGCACTGGTCCAGTCAGGTGAATCTGACGTCTTCCCTCAAACAGTTCTGGAATGGCTGTACGCACTGATCTGGGGAAGATGGCCAAACCTCCATCAGGATGCTCCCCTTTATGAGTACCTGTGTTACTTTTCTATACTTCATATAAAGAGTCTTCCATAAAATTTCTTTACAATACAGTATCGAATACCTCCACATGGAAGAATTATGTTAAAAAGTTGTTAAACCATCCTTACATAATAAGAATGCAACTCTTTTAAACTCTTAAATAGTTTTATTTAGGGGTTCTTTTTTTCTTTCAGGCTTTCTGAAAAACGAATTATTTTTTAAAAAGGGGAAAAAGGTTTCCTGTTGTTCTAATGGGGTGAGAATGTGGGACTACTTATACACGCGGCACATGCTGATATAACTCAATATATGCTTATTCTACAGGAACTGCAATACAGGACTACCCTAAATAGGGTCTTCAATGGACTGGACCAGTGTTTCAATGCAAATACCAGCCCCAAAACAACATGGTTTTGATTTCACAGTATGAATTCCCCGGAATCTGGGAAAAGGTAATTGTTAGCTGAGGCTGTCCCTCAGCAGCTTGGTCCCTCAACATTCTGAGACATTAGGAAGGACTGCACCACTTCTTCGGTGGACTGGGGGCTGCTGTTGACGTCTTCAAGGGCATCGGTCACTGAATACTGTCGATCTCGTAACCGATTCCAGTTAGATAGAACATTGTGATACTCAAATACTTTCTCGTAATTTCCAATGGAGTTGTAAAGTTTAATGAGGCCTCGGTAATCATATTCTAGTCCACTGTAGCCTTCACCAAACAGTTTCTTCCCTAAAGTAATAGAAGAAAGAAACAGATCAAAGAATGTACAATATTTTTTGTTTGTGTTTCAATACAAGTTTAGTTCTTTAAATGAGCTGGCTTGGTTTTAGTCCCACAGAAGGAAAAAACACAGTCCTTCCATCACTGCCTCTTAAATCATTTTTCTCTAGGCAGTATCTCGAAGGAGCTACCTTCACTAGAATGCTAAAATAAATTTCACAGGTTTAAAAAAAAAAGCTCGTGGGCTGGAGAGATGGCTCAGTGGTTAAGAGCATTGCCTGCTCTTCCAAAGGTCCTGAGTTCAATTCCCGACAACCACATGGTGGCTCACAACCATCTGTAAAGAGGTCTGGTGCCCTCTTCTGGCCTGCAGACATGCACACAGACAGAATATTGTATAGATAATTAAAAAAAAAAGCTCGTAATTTCAATGTATGCCTAGCTGTTTTTAAATAAAATGTGCTAGCTTTCTGCTTTAGTTTTGTCAAGTTGATACAACCCAGAGTCACCTGGGAAGAAGTTGATACAGCCCAGAGTCACCTGGGAAGAAGCAGCTTCGGCTGAGGAATCGCTCAGATTGGATTAGCCTGTGGTCACTGTGTGAAAGATGTCATGACTGATGATGTGTGGAAGGCCCTGGCTACTGTGGGCAGCACCATCCTTAGGCAGGTAGTATCCTGGCCTATGGAAGCATGAGTCAGTGAGACAGTCAGCAAGTGGCTTTCTCCATGGTTCCTGCCTTAAGTTACTGCCCCGACTTGCTCCAATGATGAGTTATGATCTGGAAGTGTAAGATGAAACAAACCATTTCCTCTCCAAGCTCCTTTGTCATGGTGCTGGTGTCATAGCAACAGAAAAAGCAAACTAGAACACGAAGTAAACAGAATATCTATAATATGCTTACTTTGTATAAGAAAGGGAATATAAGAAAATATTTATTCATTGGCCTTTGTGTAAAACAATACATAGAAAAGTAAGTCGGAAACAAATGAGATTTCCACCCAAAGCAGGTGTGTGGTAATCATGAAGAAAAAAAATGAAGTAAACTACACACCCATGGGAAAGACTTGCCTAGGAATCTGTAGCTTTTCACAACGTTAGTATTTCACACACTCAGGGAAGATCAAGGAAGTCAATACACAGGGCTAACACACATATATATGGATCACCATTTGTGACAGACAGAGACAGTAATGGGGAAAGGACAATCTGCTGAAGAAATGGTACCAGGTCAACTATATGTGCACATGGGAAGAATGAAATCTGATTCCTTTCTTGTACCATCAACAAGTTAATTTTAGGACTCCAGATCTAAAAGTGAATGGTTAAGTAAAGTATCCAGAGGCGATCTTCTTAGAAGAGTATTTTCATAACCGATAGGAAAAACTCTTTCAAACTAAATACAAAAACTACTAACAATAAAAAAAAAAAACCACCAAGGAGTTCTTTGGCTGGGTGTGCTAGCACATGCCTCTGATCCCAGCAGTAGGAAGAAACAAAACTGTCAGTTCAATACCAGCCTGAGCTACATGAGTCCCTGTATCAACAAACAAACAGAAATAAAATGAAGTGAAATAAACTGTCCTTTCCAAGATGCTCTCAGGAAAACAAGCACAGGACGAGAGGAGACCCTGCATCACAGCTGACCAACATGGGTCGCAGTTATAGTACATGAAGAATTTCCTAAGTCAACACTGCCGGACAATTCAATATGAAAACAGGCAAGAACCATAAAAGCAATTTCATACAATGAGGCAATATATTCAAACGGAAACAATTCAAATGCTAGGTGTGTTCATGAAATGTAGACTAGACATATAATAACACATGAATCCAATAAATATAACAGTTATAGAAATTACCAAGGGATTACTATGCAGCAACACATTACAATTAACCCACTATGAAGGATACTTTCCACTTAATGTCGAGGTCAGAAACAGGTAAACCTGACTGTGTTAAAGATGTGAGAGCTCCAGATGGCAAGAGGAGCACGGGCAGCAGCTGGACTAACACCTCCATGTCATGACTTTTATCTAGTCACGTCTCATCAGTGACTTCAATACTGAGGAAGAGCCTTGACAGGGGTATTCTAAATGGCTCTGCGGTCAGTTCTGTCTTCTGTCGCGTGACATTTTGTCAGTATTAACATTTTACTCATGCAGCGTAGAAGAATGTGGAACTGTTCTCTAGACACCAAGAAAAATTTAAAGGTAACATACCAATTGCTATAGATCGCAAATATAATTTCTCAGCATTTTCATATTGATTCATGTCGTAATTATATAAAGATGCCAGATGTCCCACTGAAAGGGCGACTTCATAATCTTCTTGACCAAGAAGCTGTTCTTTAATCTGAATTGCTTTTATGTGCATTTCTTCAGCTTCCTGAAAAATAGAACAAAAGGAACATTAGATTGCACCTTTTCTTAGGACAACAATTCACTGAGCAAGTTTGTTTTAAATGTCAACCACAGCTCATGAATGCCATTAGGCAGTAAGATCAAAGAAATCCTATTCGTTTTCCAAAAGCTGCACTACACACAAGCTGATGACGGTAACAGTCCTGAAGCCTGAAGTGATGGAGGTAAACACTAAACAAACATCCTAAGCTGGGTGTGGCAACAACAGGCAGACAGGCAGGAGGAGTAATAGCTCAAAGTCAACCTGCACTAGAAAAACCAAACCTATTAAAAAAAAAAAAAAAAGAGCAGTAAAGGGCCTTTTCAAACGAACACGAAGACAGGTATGATACCATACACCTTTAAATCCAGCAGAGACAGATGGATCTCTGAGTTGGAGGCTAGTCTGATCTACATAGCGAGACCCTGTCTCAAAAAAGAAAAGAATTTGAATAACCACTCCGCAAAATTAATTTAAACTTGTTAAGACAGTATTAACTTATACAGACATGTGCCTGAGAATACGACGATGTGTGTGCCTAGTCTTCCAAGTGTTACACTTGGAAGGAATGTACCGCTAGGACTGATTAGAACCAAAAATTCTTTAAGAGAAAATTAGTGTGTGTTGCTAGATTTTGTAGCTCCTAATTCTTAGTAACCATGTAATAACTCTAATGTCACTCACTATATATATGGTTACTCACTGAGAACTGTGACTGAAGCCTAACTACAACACCAGCTGTTTGGATCTCAAGTCTTGCTTTTCTTCCATGTCTTGAATATGTAATTTCATTTTTAATTTTACTATAGGGTTTTTACACTAGCTATCTTCTCAGTTCCTTTGTGGAGTCAGGTAAAATTAATACAAATGTATACTTTACTATTTAAGATTACTGAAGATTTATTTTATATATATATATGTGTGTGTGTGTGTGTGTGTGTGTTTCTGTAACAGGGTTTCTCTGTGTATCCCTGGCTGTTCTGGAACTCGCTCTGTAGACCAGACTGGCCTCCAACTCAGAGATCCACCAACTTCTTCTGCCTCCTAAATTCTGAGATTAAGGTGTGCGCCACCACCACCCTGCTATAGTTATTATTTTATACTTACTAATTACTTAGAGATAAAAGAATATAGGACCCCCTTTACCTTAAATTTTCTCATTGACTGGTAAAGTCTTCCGAGGTTACCATAGTGTTTTGCAGTCTGTACATTAAACTCTCCGAAAGCTTTCTTAGCTAGCTGGAGTGAAGACAAGTGCAAGTCGTGTGCTTCCTGAAGCAGCCTCTGTTCCGTCTCCTTGTTATGACAGTCAATTGCAATCTCCTCTAAGATAAGTGCTGAACAGAGAAAGCGATAAATTAGGAAACTCAAAATCCGTTTTCTAAAGGGCCAACATTCAACTGAAAACTAAAGTCTGTAGTATTTACTAAGTATTGAATACGTAACTGACTGGGATTCAGAACTGGCCAAGATCAGAGTGTTCTACATTTAAGGGTTTTTTTTCTTCCTTTTGAGCTGGACTCTCGATATATAGCCCAAGCTGGATTTGAATTTATGGCAATCCTCCTGCTTCAACTTTCTATGCTGGGATTCCAAGTGTGTGCCACTGTGCTAAGCCAAATTACTTCAACAGTACACTTGGGAAAGTCATTCTATTTACACAGTATATTGTTCAAATGAGGGGGAAATGGTGCTCCTTAAATTATTTTTTAGAATCAGCTTCTATTGCAATCGCCTGCTACATTTTATAAATGCCCCCTGGGAATGGTTGTGGGTGTCTATGTGAGCAACTGGGAGGCTGCGGGAGTAGGACTGGGAGTTTAAGGCTAGCCTTGGCTATAAGACAAGTTTAAGGGCAGCCTGGAAAACACGAGACCTTGCCTCAAAAAACCAAAAAAAAAAAAAAAAAAAGAAGAAGAAGAAGAAAAAAGAAAAAGTGAATGCTAGGAGAAGTGAAGTTAAGTTGCACAACTAGCGAGGAGTGCTAGTTTAAGCGCTTCTGACAATTCTGAAAGCACCCTTTAGGAAACATAACCTTTAACCAAACAACTAAAACAGCGCTTGCTCCTCTTACTCCATTAACTCAACTGGGTCAAAAGACATTTCAACTTCGAAGTTCCACCCAAGGTTTCCAAATCCATATAAAACCAAGAACACAAACACTGCCGGCATTGTCGGGTACAGAGGCAGTGAAAAGATAGCCACTCTAAGGAAAAGAAGAAAGTGCACGTCTATGTGTACTGAGATGGAAACATGCTCAGGGTACAGCAGGAGAAAACATAAAGATAGAGGTTACTTTCTCCAATATTTATTTACTGTGTGGGTGGGTTTGCTCCACAGCATTCCAACGGAGGTGAGAGAACAATCTGGTGGCAGTCAGTTCTCTCCTACTGCCCACTCCCTCCCTCAGCCATCTCACCAGTCCTTTACTATCTCATTTGAAGAAAGGAATTAAATAACCAACACAATGGAGACTCAGTATTAGTGAGGCTTTGTGTAACTGATTTTTTTCTTCTTACTACCTAACTTGTTGCTGGTATTAAGGTGAGTTAAGATAACCTAGGATTAGGGTAAGTCTCACCCAGGGACATATTTACCACAAGGGTGATCCAGTCGCAACAGAATCAAAGCATTAAGTGAAAGAACACTGGTGAGGATACGCAGAAAAGGTAAAATAAGCAAAGAAAGAATTTGGCAAGAACACTTAAAAGTTGGGGTAAAGGAATACCGCACACTGTAAGCTAGCCTGAACTATGTTACTGTGGACTCGTCTGCATGATTCCTGCATCTTACTCAAAGGGGAGGAGGGAGAAGTAAAATAAACAATCAACAATGTTATTATATCAAAGAGATGAACCACAGGAGTTGAGGAACTATTTTAGTCACATACCCACACAATTTAACAGTCTAACTTTATGCCATATATCAATTTACAACCATCTGAGAATGGTGTAGGTCTTCTTTCTATGTTTTGTTTTCATTGGTTGAATAAAGAAAACTGCCTTGGCCTTTTGATAGGGCAAAATTTAAATAGGCGGGAAAAAGAGAACTGGATACTGGGAGGAAGGAGGCAGGCAGAGAGCTACCTGCCATAAAGCTGCCAAGTCAGACATGCTGAATCCCAGTAAGCCACGAGCTTGTGGTGACATACAGATTTAATAGAAATGGGTTAAATCAAGATGTGAGAGTTAGCCAGTAAGAGGCTGGAACTAATGAGCAGGGCAGTGTTTTAATGAATACAGTTTCTGTGTAATTATTTCGGATGTAAGCTAGCTGGGCTGCCAACGCAGCCTGCCTCGTGCTCCTACTACAAATTGGTGCCCAGCGTGGGTCCCGAACCCACAACCCTGAGATTAAGAGTCTCATGCTAGATTACAAGGGTACCTTTCACCCTCTTTGAAGAGGCCAAAAGAAGATGATCTTCAGGTAGGATGTGGGTAATGATACCAATGGCTCTTTCTGCATGAAATCTGCAATAGACATAGATAGAGTCTAGTGTTTCTTTTTAGTTAGAAGTGATTTAAAAACCGTAACAACATGTATTACAATACTGACAGAACGTACTAGGAAAACTACAAAGAATAGAGTTCTGGGGCTGGGAGATGGCTCAGCAGTTAAGAGCACTGACTGTTCTTCCACAGGACCCATGTTCAGGTTCAAGTACTCACATTGGGTGGCTCACAAACTCTTGTTAACTCCAGCTTCAGATCATCTGAATGGGCATCTGTATTCATGTGTGTGTGTGCATGTACACGTGCATGCACACACACTCTTTCTGATACATACACATAACTCTTTAAAAAATGAGGTTTTAAGGATCAGAGTTTCCTGTTTTGATGAACTGGGAGTCATATCCAGGATCTCTTTACATGCTAGGCAAGCACTCTGAGCTTCATTCCCAGCCCTAAATTTTCAGTCTATTGTGAATTAAACTTTTAACATCCATTGTATTTTCATCTCTCTCAAAATAAAAGTCCTAATTATCATTACAAGACTGATCTCTGCCACTTCTCTCTCTGACGTCATTTCCTGCCATTCCCACACCAACCCTCTTAGCCTCCAGTCATATACACCTAGCAATTTCTGAAGAAACCCATGCTCTCACCCCAGCAGTGTTTTCCTTCCATGCACGCATGGCTTACTTTCACGGAACAGAGTATATAAAGTCCCTTGGAAAAAAAAAAATCATTCACTTCCCCGATTTTTCTGTTACCTGTCCATGGGAACATCTGGTTGTCTGTTCACAGCCCAGCCCACTAAACATAAGACAAACTACTTGCCTATTATACCTGTTATTCCCTTAAAAATTAAACTTTTTTTTTAAAAAAAAAGTTTATTTTTATCACTTTAAATTATGTATCTGAGTGTGGGTATATTCATGTGAGAAGCCCAGAGGCGAGGTGTTACATTCCCTTGTGCTGGAATTAGAGGTTGTTCTAAGACACCAGACATGAGCACTGCAAACCAAACTCAGGTTCTCTGAAAGAACAGTATTCATTCTTAACCACTGAGCCATCTCTTTAGTTCCCCACTCAAAGTTCTTATCTCTGTCTATCTTCAAATTCACTAGTTCTCTTTAGTTTTTAACTAACATGCTGTTTGATTTCTGCACAGAGGTTTTTGTTGTTGTTGGTTTTTTTTTTTTTTTTTTGGTTTTTCGAGACAGGGTTTCTCTGTAGCTTTGGTTCCTGTCCTGGCACTAGCTCTTGTAGACCAGGCTGGCCTCGAACTCCCAGAGATCCGCCTGCCTCTGCCTCCCGAGTGCTGGGATTAAAGGCGTGCGCCACCACCACCCGGCTTCTGCACAGAGTTTTGATATCAGTGACTATACAGGTGCCTTTTCCTTAGCTCTGTTGATTTCTTTCTTTGAGACATGGTTTCATTTGGTGGCCCACGCTGGCCTCAAACTCCTGGCAATCCTGTCTCACCTGAGTGATGGTGTGCTACCATGTTTTTAGTATATTCAGAGTACATCCACCACTGCAACCAATTTTAAGATATTTTTTATCACCTTAAAACAATACCTAGATACATCTAGCAATCCCCACATTCCTCCAACACCCCAGGTCTAAGAACCATTCACTTTCTATCTCTAGTTGCCTATCTAGCCATATATAAATAAAGCCACACAAACTGTGATCCTTTGTGACTAGCTTCTGTAAGTTAGTATGTTTACAAGGCTCAACCATGCTGGAGGATGAATTTTGTTTAAAATTCCCAGCCTTCAAGAGGAAGCAGGTGGTGCTGGGCAGTGGTGGTGCATACCTTTAATCCTAGCACTTGGGAGGCAGGGGCAGGCAGATCTCTGTATGATTTTGAGGCCAGCATGGTCTACAGAGTGAGTTCTATGATGGCCAGGGTTGCACAGAGAAACTATGCCTTGAAAAGCCAAAAAGAAAGTCTCTGGGGCTTTTTTGTTTGTTTGTTTTCTGAAGAAACACACATTGCTGTGTAATGCTGGTTGGCCTGGAACTCATTGGATAGCCCAGAGTTGCCCTAAAAAAATTTTGGAGGAAAGTGATCAGGAGTCAATTTTCTCCTTCCACCTCACGGGTCTCAGGGATGAACTCAGCTTGTTACACTTGCCAGCAAGAGCCTTGAATTCTTCATCTTCTAGACCCAGCATAGTGCTGGCATTATAGGTATGTCCTACCTGGCCTTCTTTTTGCCTTCATTGTTCCTCCAAAATATTATTGGTTTCCTCGTCTATATCAGATCTAGAGAACTTTCTTTGTAAGGAGTATACACAGAAAACTTGTTATGGTAGCAACAAATCCCCCCCCCCCATTTTTTGGAGGGGGGGTTAGAGACAGGGTTTCTCTGTAGCTTTTTTTTTTTTTAGATTTATTTATTATGTATACAACTTTTTGCCTCCACTCACCAGAGGAGGGCGCCAGATCTCTTTACAGATGGTTTGGAGCCACCATGTGGTTGCTGGGAATTGAACTCAGGACCTCTGGAAGAGCAGACAGTGCTCTTAACCACTGAGCCATCTCTCCAGCCCAATGTAATCAAGAATTTTTTTATATTCATTTATTTATTATGTATACAATATTCTGTCTGTGTGTATGTCTGCAGGCCAGAAGAGGGCACCAGACCTCATTCCAGATGGTTGTGAGCCACCATGTGGTTGCTGGGAATTGAACTCAGAACCTTTGGAAGAGCAGGCAATGCTCTTAACCACTGAGCCATCTCTCCAGTCCCCTCTCTGTAGCTTTTGTAGCCTGTTCTGAAACTTGCTCTGTAGACCAGACTGGCCTTGAACTCAGAGATCTGCCTGCCTCTGCCTCCTGAGTCCTGGGATTAAAGGTGTGCGCCACAACTGCCCAGCTGGTAACAAGTTCTTTTGCAACTACTTAAGTCTAATATCATGAAATAGTCATAGGAAACAGATGAACAAATGGGCATGCCTATGACCCATGAAAATAGTTTTCCATGTAGGTCATAGTTCATGGCTGAGGATTTTAGAGACCATTCTTTGTTGATGGGAATTTTCCTCACTCTTGCAGGCTTAGAGATACATTTAAAAGAAGAGCTATAGCCAGGCGGTGGTGGCACACGCCTTTAATCCCAGCACTCGGGAGGCAGAGGCAGGCGGATGTCTGGGAGTTTGAGGTCAGCCCGGTCTACAAGAGCTAGTTCCGGGACAGGCACCAAAGCTACAGAAAAACCCTGTCTCGAAAAACCAAAAAAAAAAAAAAAAAAAAAAGAAGAGCTATAGTTTACCCAGTTTTTTTGGAGGTTGTTAAATTTGTCACCAAGCCAGAGACTATTAATTACTCAAAGAAAAATCACTGAAGGAAATACTGAAAAGAGCTCATTCCGTACAGAAATAAATAAATTTTAATTTGAAACCAAAGGAAGCCTAAATGGATGCCTTAACAACTGAAATGATTTTTAAATGACTTCACACATTTTACCACAGGAAGACAAATTTATCCATACAATACTTACGGACTAGTACACTACAGGGGAACAGTATTATCTCTGTCTGAAAAGGGGGAACTTACAGGGCATTGTCGAACTTCCCAGAGCTGTACTGGTGAACGTAGGAAGAGTAAGCCAAATCTTCATGAGCTGTTGCTACATGAATATTTTTGCCTCCAAACACTGACTGTCGAATGTCAAGGGCTGCCTGAAAGAACCATAGACATTTAGTAATATTGTATACTACTGAAGTTAAATTAACTATCCTCACATTCTCTGTACCTAATCCCTTAAATTTCAAATGGGAAGTCATGCTGGAGTTAAACAAGAGCAAAACCTGAAGGTCACCCCACAACAACCTGGTTCTGTGAAGATAACACCTGCTTTGGGAATTCCATCAGTTGGTTTTTGTAGTAAGGAAACAAAGAGTATGAACAAGGCAACGCTTCACCACAGACCCATAGCCTCGGCCCTAACAGCTTCTTTTACACCTTTCTTTAAAAGAGAACTGCAAAATAAGAATTATCTTTAATTCCAGTCCTGAAGAGGCAGAGGCAGGTGGATATCTGTGTGTGAGACCAGTCTAGTCTACAGACGGAGTTCCAGGACTGTTATATAGAGAAACCCTGTCCCAAGGGGAAAAAAAAAATCTGTGATACCTTGTCTAGAGACATTGTACAGGATACCATTTATCTGAAATAATGATTTTAAGGCCTAAAATTATAGCTATCAACCCTTGCTGGCAAAAAGGCAGGTAGACTGACCCTTGATAAATATGCCACAAAGGCATCACCTAGGCAACAGAAAGTATGGTTGAATATGTACCCACAGTCTATGATAATAGTCCTGGATGATTCTCTTCAATTCTTAAAACATTTGACTTTTATGTCTTTTTTTTTTTTTTTTTGGTTTTTCGAGACAGGGTTTCTCTGTGGTTTTGGAGTCTGTCCTGGAACTAGCTCTTGTAGACCAGGCTGGTCTCGAACTCACAGAGATCCACCTGCCTCTGCCTCCCGAGTGCTGGGATTAAAGGCGTGCGCCACCACCGCCCGGCCGACTTTTATGTCTTTTACATAACACTTAGTAAAGCAATGGTGAGACCTACAAGAGTAAGGAAGGCCTTTTTATTTTTTTAATTTATTTTTACTTTATTGGTGTTTTGCCTGCATATATGCATGTATGTCTGTGTGAAGGTGTCAGATCCCTCGGAGTTGCAGTTAGAGATACTTGTGCTGGGAATACAACCCAGGTCCTTCGAAGAAAAAATAAAAGCTCTTAACCACTGGGCCTTCTCTCTGGGCCTTCTCTCTAGCCCTTCGAAGAGTTATTTTACATAAAATGGCAACAAATATAGATCAGCAAATCAACTTAGATTAGAAGTAAAGGGAAATAACCACTAACATACCTGATAAATTGCAACAGACTGACAGATATTGTCTACATTGAGTAAGTAGAACCCATAATCTAGCAGCGTATCAGAGTATTTTGGGTGTTTGGATCCAAAATGATCTCTATAAAAAGATAAAGAACTATTAGGATATAAAGTTGAGAAACATATTAAAACAGTATCTTTAATAACAATCACCTACCGTGCCAAATACACTGCATGTTTAATTAATTGTTCTGCCTTCTTAAATTCACGTTTTACTACACAAGCCTAAAGACAAAAAGGGAAATTATTAAACAGTTGATTAGTGTACGACCATTAAGTATAGTTTCAGACCACACTATAATAGTCAATTAAAAAAAATAAATCGAAGCCGGGCAGTGATGGCGCATGCCTTTAATCCCAGCACTCGGGAGGCAGAGGCAGGCGGATCTCTGGGAGTTCGAGACCAGCCTGGTCTACAAGAGCTAGTGCCAGGACAGGCTCCAAAGCTACAGAGAAAGCCTGTCTTGAAAAGCAAAAAAAAAAAAAAAAAAAAAACAAAAAAACAAAAAACCGATGATTCTGCTGGGCAAGAGTGGTCAAGTCTTTAATTCCAAATTCCAGCACTCAGGAGGCATGGGCAGGCAGATCTCTGAGTTCGAGGCCAACATGTTCTACAGAGTGAAATTCCAGGACAGTCAACGATACACAAAGAAATCCTGTAGCAGAAAGTGGGGTGGGGGTGTCTTCAATTTGTAATTTCTTTCCAAGTCTCTAATACATTTTTAAAGAAATAGATCTGTAAACAACTTGGGAAAATTCTGGTAATTATTTCCAGTATAAATGTTACAACAAAGGTAATTCACAAACTGGTACAAGCCTACCTCTTTATAACACTATACTAAAATGTCAGGGGGAAGATTCAGCATAATATTTTTAAGTACAAATTCCATTTCTGGAATGGGTTACAGTGAACTTTTCTCACTTTCTTTATATGAACATATACATGTATATATTTTTAAATATGGTTTTCATTTGTGGGGTATTTGTCTGTATGCATACTAGAAGAAGGTGTTAGATCTAGAATTGGAGTGAGAGGTGTTTGTGAGTTGCCATATGGGTGCTGGGAATCAAATCTGGGTCTTCTGGAAAAGTAGGCAATGTTTAACTGCTCGACCATCCCTCCAGTCCCATACTTTAAAATTATTTGTTAATAACTTACTGTATACACACACATGCACATGTATGCAAATGAATAGAATGTGTGGCAGTCAGAGGTTAGCTTACAACATTTGGTTCTTTCTTTCTCAAAGAAAGTCTCAAAGGGGCTGAACTCAGGTGTCAGACTTGGTGGAAAGTGCCTTTACCATCTGACTGGACCTTTTTGTTAAACAGCACCTGATGCCGTCCTGGAACTAGCTCTATAGAACAGGTTGGCCTCAAACTCAGAGATCCACCTGTCTCTGCAACCTGAGTTCTGGAATTAAAGGCCACCACTACCAAAACTGCCAGCTTTACTAAAAAAAATATTTTGAACCATGGGGACTTCTAGTTTTTGAACTCTAAATACCATGTGCATATACAAATTTTGCATGTTGTATTACTTCCTAAAGCATATATTTAATGTTTAAATTAAGCATGCTAATATCTTTTTCTCATATGGATGCCATCTGAGTATTTATGCTGCTATTCACATTCTCTAAAGTAAATAATGGAGACTCAGGCACACTGGAACATGCCTGTAGCCCAAGTAAAATCACAATTTGAGGGTAGTCTTGACTACATAGCAAGTTTAAAGCTAGCTGAAGTTACATACCAAGATCACATCTCAATAAATAACTTTTTACTATTTCATAGAAACAGTGATGTCTTCTAAACCAAAAATCTGTAGTCTTTTTTCCGATTGAAATGACTCAGATAAAAGCAACCAAAATGGAATACTCAAGTTTGAGTAACTTCGATATAAAAAACATATATTAAAGTTCATCAGTGCTTTATTTCAAGGCTTTTGTATACTAAAGCTAACTTTGAGGTACTAATAAATAGCCTCAAAGAATTTTTATACTTATTTACAAAAAAAGAAACTAGAGAAAAATCAAAGGCAGTCTATCAGGTCCAGTATAACAAGCTTTCTCATTGAGAAATGCAATGCAGAAGGAAGGTAAATCGTACAGAAGACAGCCTCGCTCTAGGTCTATGGGTCCACACCATTTCCAATGAGAAACTGAGTTTACTACGCAGCTTTAAGGAAGACAAAAATTCAAGCATCAAATATTACTGTGATGTGTACTTCAGTGAGCTCAAACAATTATTTTTACAGGTTTCTTTGATGATGGAAAACTTATGAGGCAGTTTTTTATTTGTTTTTTGAGATAGGGTCTTTCTATGTAGCCCTGGCTGTCCTGGAGCTTGCTATGTAGTCCAGGTTAACCTCAGACACTAACCTGCCTCTGCTTCCCAAGTGCTAGGATTAAGCTATGGGACAGTTTTGATTAGAAACTAAGCACAGAAACTCAGAACACAGATCTAGTCAGTTATCAAAGACTGTTGTTAAAAACATTTTATTTTTTAGACATCATATTCACCTTAGAAGCTTGTCGTAAAACATCCACCACAACTTTGACTGGCAAGCCTGCTGTAATTTCCTTCATTGCCTCAACGCACCACTTATACGCCTTTGAAAAAATTGAGAAGAGAAAGAACTGAAACAAAGTGACAAACTAAATGACAGTGTTTAATGAAATTATTGAATATTTTTCTTACAAGATTTAAAATACTTAAACACACAAAAATATTTATAATTGAAATTTTCTGAGGTGATCTTTTGAAAGTGCTGAGTTGATCACACTATTTCTACTCTTATATCTATATCTTCCTCAAGCAAAGTGTGGTGGTACACACCTGTCATTTCAGAGTCAGCGAGGCCACGGCAGCAGGAGTTTCCTGAGCTCAGTGAGCTGGGGGTGAACCTATATATGAATCCTATATCAAAACACTCCTATAGTTTTTATAAATTAAAGATGGGATATATGTTCAGGAAATGAGGCATGCTCTATATTCTATGTTCCAGAAGCAATTACTGCATACAGCAGCTCCCTGACCCTGCCTTAGCAAACATTCCCCTTCTTCCAGCCCCTCAGTGAACTAAGTATATTTTAAGGCTTCAGTCCTAGACTAGCTTTCACATAGTTTCCTTTCCCTTCTGTAACATTTCAGCTCCTCCCTCCACCCATTTTTCTATCAGTGACAGGGTTCACTATAACCTTGGTTGGCCTAGAGCTCACTATGTAGACCAGGCTGGCCTCAAACTGAGAGAAAGCCAACTGCCTCTGTCTCAGTTGTTAGGATTAAAGGTGCACAGCATTATACCCAGCTATAATTTTCCCTATTAATTATGTGTTTAGTTGAGTGCCTACTTTATACTGGATATTACAAGCAGTTCATGTTCATTGATACATTTAACTGATAACACAGCACATAGTATGTCTATTATTATGGAAAAGAAAGTTACAGAGGTCAAGTGCAGGCAATGAGCTAGCTAGCATCTATGTAATATGTAGCAAAACAAACAAAAATGACCTTTTCCTAGTGATTAGCAGAAGGCAAAAAAAGCAAAGTAAGTTACCCTGGATAGACAACTGCTATTATATAAAGAAAGAAGACAGCAAGATAACCCATTTTGGTTAAATTCTGAGCTTAACTGAGAGGTCCTGCCTCAAGCTGGAATAGTGATTGAGATTCTCGGTATCATTCTTGAACTTCTGCACACATGTATACAAATGTATACATGTACCTGCCGAAATGTATACATGGTCTCACAAGCATGTGAATAGATATATGCATACTTATGCATACTACACACGCATACATATGAAAAGGGGCTGGAATGATGGCTCAGTGGTTAAGAGTAGCTGCTGGCCTTACAAAGGACCCACATTCTGTTTCCAGCATCCACACTAGATTGCTTACAACCACCTGTAGTAACTGGAGCCCAATACCCTCTTCTAGCCTCCTCTGTACTCATGTACACACGGCAACACACAGACATACATGAAACACAATCAAAAATAAATCTATGTTTACATTTAACAAATCTATTTTTAAATTAAAGGTGCATGTCTTTAATCCCAGCACTCAGGAGGCAGACACAGATGAATCTCTGTGAGTTCAAGGCCAGCCTGGTCTACAGAGAGAGTTCCAGAACAGCCAGGGCTACAGAGAGAAACCCTGTCTCAAATAAACAAACAAACAAACAAACAAACCCAAAAAGCAAATGAAGTATTTTTCCATTCTGCAATGAAACCTACGACAGGAACCTAGCATGTGAAAGCTGTGAGTGGTGGTGCTTGCCTGCGATCTGAGCAGCACTGATCTTAGCACTCAGGAGCCCGAGCCTCAGGCTACCAAGTCTTGCCTTATCCAAAAAAACAAAACAACAATCCTGAGGACCACCCAATACCTGAAATGTAACTCAGAAGACAGGTAAGAGAACTGGCTTATCCTGTTCCAATGGGAGCTACCTTGAAACAGTGTGGCACAGGTCGGCAATCCCAGCACTTGACAGGGTGATAGAGGAAGACCACAAATTTAAAGGCAGCTTAGGCTACAAAGACCTTGTCTCAAAACAGCAAGCCAACTCACCTCATCATAGTGGCTTTTTGCAAATAGAAGTGCACATAGTTCTCCATAGAGAGCAGCTCTGTTTGCTTGCTGGCCACGCTTTGATAACTTATCCATGTATGTCTGAGCTAACTTAAATGTTTCTTCACCTAGATGATATTTGCAATTTCCATTTCGCACATGAAGCAACCTGAAAAAGACAAAAAAGCTTTTACTTTTGGTACTTCTAGCATAGCGACCCTGATAACTTTTTGTTGTTGTTGTTTTTCAGGACAGGGTTTCCCTGTGTAGCTTTGGAGCCTGTCCTAGAACTTGCTCTGTAGACCAGGCTAGCCCTGAACTCACAGCCTCCCAGCATAAGCCACCACCACCTGGTCCCTGAAAACCTCTTAAAATAATGGTGCAGCACCTAAATGACAAGACAGTGGACACAAGAAATGAGGCTGCACTAGAAAGAACTTCTATCTACAGCACTGCTGATAATGCTGAGAGCTTCTTGTGATGAATCTCGTCGATTCACTCTGTTCTCTAAATATTCATGTATTTTGTGTATTCAGCGTGTGCTAAACAACAACAAAAAAGAATCCTTCTTGTTCCAAATTCAAATACAATGCGGAAAATAGTGAAGAAAATAAAAAAATAATCTGACATATTACACCTACCATTACCGTTCTTTCTCAGTTTTTGGATGTCTGTGTATCACTTCATCAGCTGCCACTGCTGTCATTCATGCTGCTTCCTAAGCATTTTAGCTTACTGTACCACTAAGGTAAGTTCAATGATATAACGATGATACCTATTTGTCCTATACCCTCTGTGGCTGAAAATCCTGAGCACACCACACAAAATAATGTTTAATATGATAACAACCTAATGAGTACGCAAGTGTATCAACATAAAGGCCGCAGTAGACTATACATCTACAGACTATAGGACAAATACTTATCTATTATAGTGCTGGCTGAATGCAATGTCTATTTACAAGGCCACTACATTCTGAAAATGCTCTGGCAATAAAGACATAAAAGACATTTAAAAGAAAACAAAGCAGGGCATTAATATCAGTACTCTAGAGGCAGAGCTAGGTCTAAATAATGAACTGTCAAAACCATGTGAGAAGCAGGCACAGCTAGGCGATAGAGGCTCTCCATACCTAATAATGTGTGAGGCCCTAAATTCAGTCCCTAGCACTGGAGAAGAGAAAGGACTGGAAGGAAGGAGAATTAATCTCGATACTCTAGATGGGTGGAATGACTATATTTCTGAGCAGGGCAGTCAAGGTTGAGCAGAATATGAACTTAAGAGTAAAGCATCTACAGATAAAAATATTTAAAAAAAAAAAAGAAAGAAAAGAAAAACAGAGCCGGGCAGTGGTGGCGCACACCTTTAATCCCAGCACTCGGGGAGGCAGAGGCAGGCGGATCTCTGAGTTCGAGGCCAGCCTGGTCTACAAGAACTAGTTCCAGGACAGGAACCAAAAGCTATGAAGAAACCCTGTCTCGAAAATTCAAAAAAAAAAGAAGAGAAAAAGAAACCAAATCAACTGATCAGAATGAGTCTGAGGCCATATTGGGTACCATAGAAAGACCTTGCATACAAATACAAAATAACAACAGGGCTGAGGATTGTAGTGATATTTTGTTTGTAATCTAACAAATAAATCCTGCCTGAAGATCAGAGTACAGAGCTAAACTACTAGGAAACTACTAGGCCAGGCAGTGGTGGCACACACCTTTAATCCCAGCACTCCCAGAGGCAGAAAGATCTCTGAGTTCAAGGCCACCCACCTTACACTATAACTCAAGATTGATCCAGTCTCAGAGAGCCAGGTAGTGGTGGCTCACACTTTTAATCTCAGTATGTGGGAGTCATACACCTTTGATCCCAGCACTAGGGAGGTGGAGTCAAGGAGGAATACGACTGGAGGGAGAGAGGAATATAATGTAGGAGGAAACAGGAGCTGGAGGAATTCAGTTTGAGGATTCGGCCAGAGAAGCAGTCTGAGGTTCATAGAGAGTGCTTTCACTTTGGGGATTCATGGAGACAGGATCACCCCTTCGGTTTGAGCACTGGCAGAGGTAAGAACTCTCTAGTGGCTGACCGCTCTGCTTCTCTGATCCTTCAGCTTTCACCCGATAGCTGACTCCTGGTTTTTATTATTAAGAACAATTAGAATTCATGCTACAGAGCATGTGGCTCAGCTGGTAGTATGGCTATTTTGCATGCATGATACTGATGTGGGATGTCTCTCTGTATGCTGTGGATATGTTATTACCATTGGTTAATAAAGAAGTTGTTTTGGCTAACAGCCAGGCAGAATAGAGTCTGGTGGGAAATTCAAAGAGATACAGGGAGAAAAAGGGAAGTCAGGGAGACACCAACAGCTGCTGGAGAAGCAAGATGTGATGTAACAAGCCACAAGCATCATGGGAAAATACAGAATAGTAGAAATGGATTGATTTAAGTTGTAAGAGATAGTTAATAGAGCTAATAGGTGAAACAGTTTGTAATTAATATTAAGCCTTAGAGTGACTACTCAGGAACTGGTGGGCTGGAGAGAAACCTCCAATTACACAAAACCCTAGGTTCAAACCATATAAACTAGACATGGTGGTTTGATCTGCCATCCCAGCATTTGGACAGTGGAGTCATGAGGATCAGACGTTAAAGGTAGTTCTCAGCTGCACAGGCAGTTCAAAGATGGCCTGGTATACATGAGACTCTCTCGAGTGAAAGGAAATCAAGAGTTGCCAATGCCCTTTATTTACCATGAGTACTCCAGGAGGAAGATCATTTCTGGCCTTTACTTAGTAACTGGCACATGCAGAGATGATAGACTATTTATTTAATGCCAGAAAGGCACTGCCTGGTGCTTCCTCCAGTCCCACTGGTGGTCTGTTCAAACATACACTAAGCATACAGAGACCCATCTGGGCTGAAAGTAAGCAGGATGGAAGCCAAGGAACTTCCGGTGCATTTCACGGGTGTGTTGCCAAGGTTCCCACTTGCACTTTGACAATTAACAATGTGAAATCACACCTCCCTTATCAACTACTACCACAAAAAGTAACTGGGTTTATTTTTGTTGTTGTTGGTTGGTTAATTTTTTTTTTTTTTTTTTGAGACAGGGTCTCTACATAGTCCCGGCAGTTGTAGAATTCACAGAGACCCTCCTGCCTTTGCATCTCAGGTGCTGAGATTAAAGGCATATGCCATCATGCTGGGCTAAAAAGCAACTATTGTTTACCAGGTCAAACTATGTTAAGTTTCAAATGAGAAAAAAAGCAAACATAGAAGTCATTCAGTCATTCAGTTTATAAATATATTTATTGCAAGACAGAAGAGCTGGACTGGCGAGATGGCTCAAAGGGCAAAGAAACCCGATGACCTGAGATTGGTCCCCAGGTTTTAGTGGAATAAGAAAATAGAATCCTAAAAGTTGTCCTCTGACTCCCACACAAGAGGCAGGGCATATATATGTGAGCTTATGTGTACATTCACGTGTACCTGCACACCACAGAGTCAAAACAAAATTGAAAACTGGCTAGAGAGATGTCTCAGTCGAGAAGGTGTTTGCCATGAAACCTAAGGGCCAGAGTTTGGATTCCCCAGAACCTACCTACATAATAAGGCCTGGTGGCAGTCTGTAATTCCAGTTCTTGGGAGGGATAGACAGGGGATTCCTGGAGCAAACTCAATAGCTAGATGGGACCTTACCTCAGCAAATAAAGTGGAAAAGCAGTCAGGGAAGACTTGATGTCAACTACATGACTCTACATAGATTCACGTATGTGTCTACTACCCATGTGCACATACACATGAATATGTACACAAACACACCACAAACAAATACAATTTTTTAAAAGATGTATTTATTTATTATGTATACAGCGTTCTGCCTGCATGTGTACCTGCAGGCCAGAAGAGGGCACTAGATCTCATTACAGGTGATTGCGAGCCACCATCTGGGTGCTGGGAATTGATCTTAACCTCTGAGACAAAGCTCCATCCCCACAAACAACTTGTAAAAAGACTAAGGGTGTGTGTGTGTGTGTGTGTGTGTGTGTGTATGGCTGTAATCTCAACACTTGGGAGGCAGAGGCAGTGGTTCTCTTTGAGTCTGAGGCTAGTTTGGTCTACAAGAGCTAGTTCAAAGACAGGCTCTAAAACTACAGAGAAACCCTGTCTCGAAAAACCAAAAATAAAATAAAATAAAGAAATAATACTAGATCCATACCAGACAGATGAGACAAAAACAAATTACATAATACCAGCTGTTGAGAAGGCTCAGAGGGTAAAAGTGACCTAACAACCTGAGTTCAATACTACGGCCCAAATGCCGGAGGGAGAAAACAGACTCCTGCAAGCTGTCCTCTCCTCCTGTGAACACTGCTGCATGGACTTCAACTTTCTGCCCCCACTTCACCAAATACAAAAATAAATGTAATTTTTAAAAAAATTAAGGAACTAAACTGGGTATGGTGGCACACACCTTTAACCCTAGCACTTGAGGGGCAGAGGCAAGCAGATCTCTGTGAGTTTATGACCAGTTTGGTCTCATAGTGAGTTCTAGGACAGCCAGGATTATGTAGAAAGACCTAGCTCAAAACAAGCAAGCAAGCAAGCAAGCAAACAAACAAATAAAACTAAGGGACTGGAGAGATGGCTCAGCAATTAAGAGTGCTTACTACTCTTCCAGGACATGCTCCAAAATTACACAGAGAAACCAAACTCTGTCTCAAAAAACAAGAGTGCTTACTATCTTGCAGAAGACCTGGGTTCAATTCTTAGCACCCACATGGTGGCTCACAACCACCTGTAACTATAGTTCCAGGGGACCCCATGCCCACTTCTCACCTTTGCAGTCAATGTTCCTACATGCTACACATATATACACACAGGCAAAAACACTCATACATATAAAATTTAAACAAATCTAAAATTTTAAAATAAATTATTTATAACTATAAATATATTATTTATAATTAGTTATAAAAATAAATTATTAAAAGAAAAAATACTGCCAGGTGGCCGTTGTGCACACCTTTCATCTCAGCACTCAGAAGGTAGAGGCAGTAGGATCTTTGTGAATTCAAGTCAGTCTGGTGTACAGAGAGTTCCAGGACAGCCAGAGCTACACACAGAGAAACCCTGTCTAGATAAACTAATCAAACAAGGACAGACAGACAGATAAAATGAATATGGAATGATATGAATGTGATGGCACACATCTTCAATCCCAGTACTCCGGTGACAAAAGACAAGCAGATCTCTGTGGGTTCCAGGTCAATCAGGGTTACACAGTGAGACAATGTCTTAAAACAGACACGGAGACAGACAGACCGACACACATGTATGCACGCATACACACATACACAAATACAGAATGTGAGCATCTTAACTGTCAACTTAATTGGCTTAATAAATGCCTAGGTTACTTAATAAAGCATAACCTCTGGGTTCCTAGAGACAGACCATGAGGACTGGGAACTAATCAATGGATTAATGAATGACGTGGTGTCACGGGGACACTGTGAGAAGCAGGTAGGACCGAGGTGGAAAAGGTAGGTGGGTCACCAGGAGCACATCCTTGGGGGCTACAACTTGTCCTGACTCTCTTTGCACTCCTGCTCCGACGTGCTTCTGTTACCACGTTTATCTTTGAGTGCAGAATGGGGTCAAGTTACCATGAACAGCATGAACCCCTAAAATGTAAGCCAGAAGAAATCTTTGCTCCTTTAAGCTGATTCTGTCAGGTATTGAGTCAAAGTGAAAAGAACAGCACAGGCTGAAAGCAAACTGAGGAAATGAGTCTCTCTCCTTCCTATCTTTTCTAAGATCAGATAGCGTTTTTTCTAAAGATCTAATATATTTTTATGGAAATAAAAGGTTGAAGTGCTTAGGATTCATGAACATTTTGGAGATGGAGACTGGACTACTGAAAACATGGCACAATTACCATCTAAGAGATTTAGTCAATTGTTGGGAGTGTACCCAGAATTCTGAGCCCAAACCACTAATACCAAGTACCCCTATAGCTAAGTACCACCAAATCATAGGATCTGCTCCAAGCTTACCTCACACAACACTCCACTGCTCGAAACCAGTGAAGCATCTCGTCATGTAGAGTACATAACTGAAGGCAAGACAGAAAAACCTTCTCAGCATCACTGTACCAGCCTGCATCGGAAAGAAATCCACCTGAAGAGCAAGAAAATCAGTAACATTAAGTGACTCAGTAAACTGTAAGCTACAATGACATGCTTATAACAAAACACCTAAATCAAATATTCAATATTAATATTAAATAATTAATTAATAATAGTAACATCTTACTTTTAACTTTGGAAAAGTTTGATCTCCAGCACAGAAAGTGGGAATAATAATCTGAAGAAATATTTGTCTGAAATGTACTTTTAATTCTGTATGATTGTGAAAAGATAGTTTTATAATTTATTATAAAATTATCACAATATTTATTTATTTATTTTTTAATTTATTTATTTATTATGTATACAGTGTTCTGTCTGTTTGTATGCCTGCTGGACATGAAGAGGGCACCAGACCTCATTACAGATGGTTGTGAGTCACCATGTGGTTGCTGGGAATTGAACTCAGGACCTCTGGAAGAGCAGGCAATGCTCTTAACCTCTGAGCCATCTCTCCAGCCCCACAATATTTATATATGTAAGTGTGTGTGTGTGTGTGTGTGTGTGTGTGTATATATATATATATATATACACACATACATACATAAATATAAAGGGATATATGTTTATATCCCTTCCCAGAATATTTTAAAGTGGTTTCTGCTTATAAAGTATTTCCTCAAAAAAATAAAAATACCTAATTTTGGAAAACAAGGCCCTAAAAAGATTTAAGTCTCATGTCACAGCATACGGTAAGCAGTTAAAGAATTTGGTGACAGCATGACACAGCAGAAAGGCGTGCTTTGGGATCACAGAGACGGGATTCTAAACATAGCTCACTACAAGTTATGAGCTGATCCACTTACTCAACTTCATTAAGTCTTCTTCGGCATATGCAAATACTATTACTGTCACTGTGCTGGAATGCCACGAGAATTCAGGAAGACACCACTTACATGCTAAAGTTGAATAGGCCACGCCTAGGTAAGACAGTTGCTCACAATCTGTGCAGACTGTGGGAACTCTTGTAGGAACCCTTACTGTTAGGTTTAATTCAAGTCCATTACAGAATAAACACTCCTCTACTTTCCCATTACTCACCTAACACAAAGCCAACCTGGATGGCCTTCTCCTTTACTGCAGCATCTGACTCTGCTATGTAAGAGCACCGTCTACTGAATGAGTAGGCCAGGACAGAAGCAACTTTAACACCATGATCCATCAAAGCCTGAAAACAATGATGAAGCAAATGTCTGAAAGAGAAGAGAAAGGTGATTCTAGAGAGGCAATTGATTTTGCCCCTTTAGAGATAGCTGCTCCTCTATTAAATATGATACCATTGTTTTCTAAAACAAAACAAGGTAAGTGAGGCTACATCTGTAACCTGATGGTACCTAAGGATGGGGCTAGCTTTAAAAATCACATATATTGGCGCTGGAGAGATGGTTCAGTGGTTAAAAGTACTGGCTGTTCTTCCAGAGGTCCAGGGATCAATTCCCAGCAACCACATGGCAGCTCACAACTGTCTGTGACTCCAGTTCCAGAGGATCCAACACCCTCACACAGAGATACATGCAAACAAAATACCAATGCATATAAAATAAATTTTAAAAATCACATATACTCCAAAAACAAGACAATGGGGCTGGGGAGATGGCTCAGCAATTGCCACACAAGCCTGACAACGAGTCTGCATCTTAGCATACACATAAAAGCTGGACACAGTAGTACAAGCACTAGAAATCCAGTGCAGCTCTACAGGAAGATGGGAGGCACAAATAAGAAACTTGCTAGAATCTCACAGGTCAGCTAGCCTGGCATATGTGGCAGTGAACATTAACAAAGACACTGGCATCCAGGCGTAGTGGCACATGGGAGGCAGAGGCAGCCAGCCTGGTCTACAGAATGAGTGCCAGGATAGGCTCCAAAGCTACAAAAGAAACCCTGTCTCAAAAAAAAAAAAAAAAAGAAAGAAAGAAAGAAAGAAAAGAAAAGAAAAGCCAGAGCGAGAGAGAGAATCTCTCAGTAAGGTGTAAGATAAAGAAAGACCAACATCTAAAGCCAGACTGGGCTACATGACACCCTGCCTTAAAACTATCAAACCCTTCACTAAGAGCTTTATGTGTATTTATAAAGTAAAAATATGTTCTTTGACCTTTTCCCGTCAAATAAAGTATAACTCTTATTTTTGTTATTCAAAGCTTTTCACTGAGTTATCGTCCCACTCCATGGAACTTGCTACCATAGTATTCAGTGGTCTTTTGTCTACTTATAAATTTTTTTTTTTTTTTTTTTGGTTTTTCGAGACAGGATTTCTCTGTGGTTTTGGAGCCTGTCCCGGAACTAGCTCTTGTAGCTGTTTTTAATGGTGAAAACATTCTGCAAATGTCTATTGCTGATGGCTGAACAAGGCAAGTATACTTAATATCACTGAATTATATACTGTTTTATCATTTTATGTGTATGATGAGTGTTTTGCCCGCATGTACGCCTATTGTCCTTGAAGGCCAGAAGAGGATACTGTACCTCCGAAACTAGAGTTTCATATAGGCACTGTCCTATAGGTGCTAGGAACTGTATCTGGGTCCTCTGGGAGAGCAACCAGTCTTCTTAACCACTGAACCATCTCTCCAGCCCCTGAATCATACATTTTAAAATGGTATAAGTAGCAAACTTTGTGGTATATATGTTTTAGTAGTCTTTTTATTGGGGGGAGGGAAGGAGATGAAGGAAGATCAGAAGTTTAGCAAATTCAAGCCCATCTTGGGCCACATGAGACTCAGAAGGAAGGACAGACGAAAGCGTGAAAGCCAATACACATACACACAAATTTTACCTTTTATCCAAAGCTCTCAAAACTTTAGCAAAAACTTCCAATTCACAGAATTCACTGCCCAGTTGACATAAGCGTCCCTGTTGGTAAAGCTGTAATAATAATAAGAAAAATAATTATTTTTAACTTTTTAATTTAATTTTCTGCTCTGTGATTTAGCAGCTACTGTTCCAGAACTATGTTCTATGCTGCCTGCCATGATGGTCATGGACTTTAACCCTCTAAAACTCTAAGCCCCAAATAAACTCTTCTCTAATTAAAAAAAAAAAAAAACAAAAAAACAACAGGATTTAATAGCAGATTTTAATGGCTGATTTTAAGTATAAATACACAGCATTATCAGAAAAGAGGCTTGCATGAAAAAAATGCAACAAATAAATTTCTATAACTCATAAAAACTTTAACATTGCACATAATTGTTCAGAATTATTATTGTGAAATAGAATAGCACCTGGAACATTATAAATTACAAAGATGTGGTATTTAGCTATATGTATCATACAGAAGCCCATTACTTAAGAAACTTAAATGCTTATTTTTTTTCCTTTAACAAAACTGGATAATTTTAAGTTATCAAAATAACAGCAAAGCCAGTATCTAGAAGGCAGCTTGTCAATATGCTCCATTGGGCACCTCAGCCAATCTCAAATACTCAGCTTAGTTCTGCATATATTTCACAAGCACTAACAGTATATAGTACATCTATCTAAAGATCCAGGACGACAGGATTCATATATTTCTGATTTGTTAGAACTGTTTTGTTGTTGTTTGATTTCGGTTTTTCCAGACAAGGTGTCTTGTGTGTGTGTGTGTGTGTGTATCCCTGGTGATCCTAGAACTTGCTCTGTAGACTATGCTGGCCTCAAACTCAGAGATCTGCCTACCTCTGCATCCTGAATGCTGGGATTAAAGGTGTGTGTACCCCTACGACCCAGCAGGAACCGGTACTTTTTAAAGGAACAATTTAGGAGCTGGGTGGTGGTGGCACACACCCTTAACCCTAGCACTCAAGAGGCAGAGGCAGTTAGATCTGAGTTTGAGGCCAGCCTGGTCCACAGAGCAAGTTTCAGGATAGCCAGGGCTACACAGAGAAACTTTGTCAAAACAAACAAACAAACAAACAAAACAAACAATCAAAAAAGAACAATTTAGGGATTGCCAAAATGGCTTTGTGGATAAAGGAGCTTTGCAGCTTAGCCTGCAGACTGGAGCTCAATCACAGGGATCCAAAGGGTGTAAGGACAGAACTGATTCCTCCAACTGTCTTCTGATCTCCACATACGTGCACAAATATAAAGTTTAATTAATTAGTAACATGTTTTTAAAAAACAAATATGGCCAGGCAGTGGTGGCACACGCCTTTAATCTCAGCACTCAGGAGGCAAAATCAGGAGGACCTCTGTTAGTTCGGGGCCAGCCTGATCTACAGAACTAGTTTCAGGACAGCTAAGGCTGTTACAAAGAGAAACCCTGACTTGAAAAACCAAAAACAAATACAGAGAGGAGCTAGAGAGATGGCTCATCAGTTAAGAGACTGACTGCTCTTTAGGGGACCCAGGCTCAATTCCCAGCAATTACAGGGTAGCTCACAACTCCCTGTAACTCCAACTCCAGAGGGTACAACACATTCTTCTGGCTTCCTTGAGCACCAGACAAACACATGGTACTCAGATACACAAGAAGTCGTCAAGGAACTCATACTTCAATGAATGAAAATTTAAAAAGGAAACAAATTCAGTTTTATCATTTTTCCTGACCTCAATTTCACCAAATGCTTTTGAATGTATGTAAGTTATAACAGAAATTTTGCTATCTTAGTTCACTTTGTATTACAGCTACTTAACACTAACTCAATTGATGACAACATTGGTTGCAAAAAAGAGGAAGGCAGGTCACTCTGTGCAGGAAAACAAACTACAAACTCAGCATACTATTGGGCATAAGATTATTAGTCACACAAAGGTCAGATTAAATTAGGTATACACACAGCTCAGTGATAGAAAGCTTACAGCATACACCAAGCCCTGGGTTCCATCTCTAACACGGGAGAGGAAAAAGTATAGATACCAATGGTTTCTGCAAAGTCAACAATTGCTGCCGAGAAGAGGGACTATACGCTCAGGAAGGCCAACAGAACTGTGATCTTCATGGAATGAAGATATTCAAATTAACATTAAAACCTAGTTCATAAGGAAAGAGCCTCTATTTTGGCTTTCTTTTTTAATTAATTAATTTATAAACTTTTATGTCTATAGGTATTTCGCACACCAGAAGAGATATTGGATACCATGGGGACTACAGATACAGATGGTTGTGAGTCACCATGTGAGTGCTGGGAATTGAACTCAGGACCTCTGGAAGAACTCTTAACCACTGAGCTATTCCTACAGCCCCCAGAAATGCCCTTTCTGCTACAGAAAAATAAAGAGTTTTGAGAATGTACGCAGTAAAATGCACCAGCATCAATCAGTTATGCTTACTTGACAATTGGCCACTACAGAATAATACAAGAAAAATACCGCTGAGAATTCATCACCAAATTCCAGTTTGGGGGCAAAATAATGCAAAGCAGATCCAAAAATGTACTAACCAAGATATTTAGATATTTCTCCAAAACACTAAGAAAAAAATCTTAACTTCCAAAGGCTCAGTGGGTAAAACCATGCCCATGCAAGCATGAGGACTTGAGTTTGAATCCCCAGTCTGCAATCACAACGCTCCTATGGGGAAGAGGGAGGTGGAGACTGAACAGCATACACAATAGAAAAACAAAAGGGGAAGGACTGACATCCAAGGTTATCCTTAGACCTTCACACACACACTGTGATAAATGTGCAATGGCACATGTGCATGCACTTAACACACGTGCATGCATGTGCACACCCGCACACATACACACACTTTGTATACACACACATTATACATAAGTATGCCCTCCCAAACCCTTGCCAAAATGATTATCATTATCAACCTTAAGGCTTAGAATTTCTTTTATAAAATAGATAAAAATGAAACAAGTTATATAACCATTTAAATTACCAGACAAGGGTAATGATTTAACAGTCCTACTCAGGTTTCTTTCACCCTTAAGTATATCCCAAAATAAAATTAATATTGTTGACAGGACAAAGGGGGGTTAGAGATACCAACTACAGGTAAAGATAGTATCTAATTCCTAAATATTTAACACTTTTGTATTTTATTCAAATTATTTTGAGTATGTGAATGCAAGCACATATGTGGATGAGCAAAACTTTCGGGAACCAGTCTCTCCTGCAGGTTTTTACCCACCAAGCTACCTCAACAACCCCCAATTTTTAAATGTTAAAAAATAAATCAGGGCTGAGGAGTCCCTCAGCAGTAAAGTACTAGCCAATGTGCGTGAGGCCTGAGTTCTAACTCCAGACCCTGTGGAAAAGAAAGGCATAACATTAAGGGTTTGTAACCCAGTGCTGAAGGTCAGGACAGGCAGACCCCTTCAGCCTCACAGGAGTCCAGCAGCTGAACCCTACAGCCATGGTGGTGATGGTGAGCCATAGGTGTTGGGGTGGGGGTTTCAGCCACTAGCAGAGCTAGGTGGCAGAGGGAGGCATTAGTTAGGGGACATGGGTGGAGGCATGGCAGCCATGAACATACTAGTTTCCTGACACTCAGAGTGAGGCTGGGCTGACAGTGGGAAGGTAACTACAGTAGCAGCTGCCCTAAGCAGTGCTCCCGCTCAGCTCAGAAATCAAAGTGAGTGACACTGGCTCATCTGGAACCATGTACCAGGCACAACTGGCAGGCACAACGGAACTCATCAACAAGGGTCTTCGGTTCAAGAATGAGTGGCTAATGATTATGTCCAAGATGCACCACTGCCATAGTATGAGGCCATGGCACTTTCTACCTCAGTGGGGAGAAGGCAGGATCTCAGGGTATCCAGGGATGCGTGCACTGCTCCACTCTGATTCCATCTGTTTTCCTGCCCGCCTTTCACACAAGGTCTAGTACTTCTCTCACTGTTCTCTGCAAGCCTCTGGCTCCTTTTTTCCCCCACATCTCTCCTGTGGTCTCCAGAAAGATAAGCTGTACTTAAATTTGGTGCTGAACACATGGCTCAGACAGTGTAGTAGCCCACCATTTCGCCAAAGCTGAGCAGACCATATCTAGCACTGAGGTTAAGGTGCACACACTAGTTCTAAAGCTTGGCTACATCAACTTCACTGGGTGCATCACTGTATCAGCCCCAGAAACTACCGATGGATTCCGACACTACTAACTCATTAGGAAACCCAGTGTTTCCTGCATTTGTTTTTGGTACTGCTATTCTCTAGAGCTCATTTCTGGAGTCACTGATGAAACTTTGTCTATAAGCATGTGGTCAATAGGTTGAATACTGGGTGAACACTGCCCTCCCTCTCTTTGGACAGCTCATCTTCCCCAGGGACAGTGGGTGAATTAGTTCTTGAGAAGATGGTATTAGAAATACCCAGCAATAAATATGTAAGATGAACCCCAATGACACAGATTCAAGTTCTCCACATCAAGCTCCTGTCTGCACAAAGGTGTTCAAATCTCAGATGCCACTTCTGGAGCTGGAACCCCTGGAGCCCACACCTGACTCAAGGCTCTCCTTGTTAGAGGCCTAGGTCCACAACTTCTTAGATGAACTGGAGTGTCTCAGAACCCAGTCCCTCAGCAAATGCTTGCTTCTCCAACCCCTTTCCAATTCTGGTTCTGGTGACTTACCATCCAACACTCAAGCAATGCAATGTTCATCCTTACTCACTTGAGGTGTTGGGGGAATATGGACAGAACGACACACAACATAACTGCTAGCCTCATTATCCTCATTTTACAAACCCAGTCCAGCACAAACTGGCAGATGTTACTCCTACTCACACTTTTTCTCCGGGCCCCACTGGACTACCTTCCATATACATCTAGAGTCCTAAATGGGGCTGGAAATGGGGAGTATCCCATCAAGCTCCTGCCCCAGCTAGACCCCAAGAACAAAGGGCAGAGGCAAATGAATTCTTTAAAAAAAAAAAAAGATTTATATACTATGTGTACATTGTTCTGTCTGCAGGCATCCCTGCCTGCCAGAAGA